TACAGTGTTCCCCCTTTGCCTTTCCCTTGGAAAAAGCTGGCAAGTGGGGAATAGGCAGGGGAAAGTCAGGGGCCTGCCTCTACACTGCTTCCCACAAGGGATGTGGGCACTGCCCTGGTGTAGCTTAGAATCTGGGGGAGGTGGTGCCATCCACTCAGTCATTGCCTAAGTGTGTGGTTTCAAACTGCAGCACTGGGTTAAGGTAGGGAAACAGGTGCGGGTCAGGGATATTTGCAAGGAAGGCTGGAAAGATAAAGGCTTCTAGAAGGGAGAGGTGAAGAAGATGCAGGGTCCCTGAGGCAGGATAGAGCCCCTTCTGTTTGTAGAAGTTGGAGCACAGTGGCTGGAGGGGCTAGGCATATGGGCCTGGCTTGTGTGGTTTCCAAGGGAAGCTCCCCTCTCCATGCCCTGCAGGAAACTGGGAGGAACCAGCAGTGGGAGGAGTCAGCTGGGGGGGGCTCCTGAGTGTGGGAGACAGTTTGACACCCCCCACCCCTCACCCCAGGCTGATGGGCAGAGATGGGAAAGGGTTCTGCCATCTCCTGGGGCATCCTGCTTGCACAGCCTGGGAACCTGCTGCTGTTGCTGGCATCTGGGTGCCCCAGCCCCTCTCTCCCATGGAGGACTTGACACAGGTCAAGATGGGCCTTTTTGGTAACCTGTGTCCAACACCCCCAAGTGCTAGGGGTTGCCAGTAGGAGGCCTGAGTGGGCCCGCCCACAGTCGTGTGACCCACGGAAGCACTGAGGGAAGTGATGGGTCAAGGTCTTGGGGACTATTGTATGCTGATGTGGACGCACACGGGGCCCTATCCCGCGTTGGTTTCCACGCACACGGGGCCTCTTTTGTGCAGGAGTGCGCGTGCCCCTGTGTGGGCCCCCGTGGCCGTGGCTGCAGCTTGATCCTGAGCTCAGCGTGTGCCCACGCTGGGTACCAGTGGGATGCGCGTGTTGTCGCCGCTGCGGCTCCCTGCCTTTGCTCCTGGGACTAGGGGAATGGCTAGCGAGCAGACCCCGAGGCGCGGAGGTCGAGACAGCGGGTGAGAGGCCCCACCGGCCCTGGACGTGCTGGGCGGGGACGCGCCGAGGGCGGAGACCCCCTCCCACCACGGCGGCGCGGCGCGCGCAGGGCTGGCCGGGCGGGCGCACTCCCTGCGAGGAGGAGGCAACAGCGCCACCGCCCGCCGGGCCGCCGCGCTCCGATCCGCGCTGGAGCTGACGCCGCCGCCACCACCGCCGCCGTGGCCGGGCCGAGCCCGTGGGGGAACCAGGGTAGCAGGGGGCCCTTCGACCCCGTGCCGACAGCCGCTGCCGCCGCGCCGGCCGCATGCTACAGATGGTGAAGACCCTGGCCCAGTTCACCATCGCGCTGGAAGACATGCGCGATCTGGGCCCAGCCGCCGCCGCCTCCGGGGAGTCCGCCGGGGGCGGCGGTGGCGGCGCTGACGCCGAGGAGCCTGGAGAGGCCCAGGTACGGGGAGGAGGGAGGGTCAGCTAGGAGCCAGGCCTGGGTCTCAGTCCAACCGGGAAAATTGAGGGAGGCTTGGGCAGGGAGTGGGCCCCAAGCCAGGAACTGGAGTCAGTCACCGCAGCTGTCTGGAGGCGCATACCTGGGGTTCCAACCTGCTAGGGGTCCCAGGGGGACCAAGGGAAGGTGGCCTGGCTAGTGAAATGGATCAGCATGGAAGTAGGGGCTGTTGCCTAGGGGGCTCCCGAAGGTGTCCGGCCTCCCCCGGGTGCCTGGAGTCAGGTGTGCTGCCCCCTGCACCTGCACCTGCTGTACCCTGGCTCCCCCCATTCCTGGTTTGTGCGTCCCCCTGCAAGGAGGAGGCTCCCAGGACTGGCTGTGCCTCCATGGGCCTGGCTGGCCCAGAAGGCTTTGTCCTGTGTTCCTCCTCATGTTATGTTGTGCTGTGTGTCTGTCACCTCAGGTCTGGCCTTCAGGGCTCCCATCAGGGTGACGTGGCTGCAGTTTTTGTCCCTGTGTGTGTGACCCCTGTCTTCCTGTTGTACACACCAGAGTCTGAATGTGGGGTTGCCATACCCCAGCCATTACAGGCAGGAGTCACTCTCAGGTCTTCCTGCTGTGAGCCCCTTCCCACAGTGAAGGGCTGGAGACAGGAGGCTGCTGAGAGGCGAGTGGGGCTGGGAGAGGCTGGGCCTGCGCAGTCATCCTCCCTGGAACAGGTGGGCCTGCTGTTTTGCTTGACAGCTGCGGCAGCCCCACCCCGCCCCCACAGACACCACCCCCGCCCGTGTCTGGGCACGTGCGAAGGGGTGCTGGATGCGGTGGCTGGGAGCTGGCCTTGGCTTGTGCCTTCACCTGACAGCTGAGTGACAGCCCCCTGTGCCTGCAGCAGAGAGGAGGTGGCTGGGAAGGACTGGCCTTGCAGCGTCAGCCCTACTGCTGCCTGGGCCCTCCCAGGCCCAGCGCCAGCCGGGCAGCTCAGCTACTCAGGAGGCCTCGTTGTGGCCTCCTGTGAGGGGCCAGGCCAGCCCAGGGGCATGGGCAGGGGAGGGTACCAAAAGGGATACCCAAGAGCCAGGCCTGGCTGGGGCTCCCTGTGGGAACGCACATGGAAGCCCTGCTGGGTGCTCCGTGCTGCCTTGCTGTCACAGTGCTGAGGGCCGGGAGTCATTCAGTCCGCTGCAGAGAGAGGAAAGAGAAACTTGCCACTGGGAGCATACTCCAGGAGGACAGAGCTGGGAGCCCTATGGCCTGGGCTCAGCGTGAGGTGGCTACAGAGACCCTGCTGCTGGCCCTGGCTGTTGCCACCACAGGGGACAGTGCCTGTGTTACAGAGCTGAGAGTGGGAGGCTGCAAGGAGACCGTGTCTGGGAGCTACTGGGATGTCCCCAGAGCAGATGGAGGCAGGAATGGGCTTCCGGGCCTTTCCTGGGAGGTCCTTCTGGCGCACTGTGCTCTCCCAGGGTCTCTGGCCTGGGTTGCACCCTGTTTGCGCCTCCGCCTGCCCATGGGCAGTCACCCTCATCTTGTAAAGGCCCTGGGAGCACTGGGGGCAGATGGGCTGGAGGTACCTAGAGCTCAGGCTTGGCAAAGGTGGATTTGCCACCTCCCCACGCCCTGTCACTGACCGTGGTAGCCCTCTGCTGAGTGTGCCTCACTGTGGGACATGCAGGACAGATCTGACCCCACATCCCTGGGTCAGTGAGGTGAGCAGTGGCCGGCTCAGGCAGGCCACATGGGCCTGGAGCTCTGGTCCACCAGGCAGAAGCATGGATCGGGCAGCCCCATTGGAAGTTGTCCAGTCCCCAGGGACAGGGAGTGGAGGGATGTCACAGTCAGGGACTCCTGTTCCAGTGTTGCCATGTGCCTGGAGTGTCTTTCTAACCAGCAGGGCTGGAACCTGAGGCAGGGCCCACACACAGCTCAGACGTGGGGGACAGTTCTCCCTCCACATACACACCCAGAGAACTGTGCCTTCCCAGGTACTCCAGGGACTTAGGGGCAGTGGTGAGGAAAGAGGGAAGCTGCTGGAGCTCCAGCCATCTGGAAGGGCTTCCTGGAAGAGAAGTAAACTGGAGGCATAAGGACCAGGGAGAGGGCAGTGGATACGCTGGGGCCGGGGAGCTGAGCACCTGCAGCATCAGGGCAGCACCCTGTGCCCCTGGGTGGAGGTGCAGCGGCAGGGCGCCCCTTGGGGACTCCTGAATTCAGATGGTCAGCTCCTCAGGCTGGGGCGACACTGCCTGTGTCTGCTTCGCCCTGTGCTTCAGATGGGGAGAACCATAACACCTGCCTCACAGGTGCTGGGAGGGGGTGTTATATAACACAGAATGCCTGGTGCTCAGCTGTCATTTTAAATGAGGGAGTTGGGATCTGGCCTTGCCTGACACCACCCAGCTGTGTGACCTTTGGCACCAAGTCCGTCACCCTGGGTGCAGTGGTTCGTGAGTCAGGGTGACGGGGTCTGTGCCCAGGGCCAAGGGAAGGCCAGCCGGGTGAGGCATTGCCCTTAGCACCCCAAAAACAGGGTGTTGAGAATGGTTGGCTACATTGTGTGGTGGCCTGGGGATATCTTCCTGAGCAAATATAAGAGTTTATGAATTTTTAGAAAAGAGTCCTTTTTGTTGGCGTTGTGGTACAGCGAGTTAAAAGACCGCCTGTTGGGCCCGGCGGCATGGCCTAGTGCCTAAAGTCCTCGCCTTGAACGTGCCGGAATCCCATATGGGTGCCGGTTCTAATCCCAGCAGCTCCACTTCCCATCCAGCTCCCTGCTTGTGGCCTTGGAAAGCAATTAAGGACGGCCCAAAGCCTTGGGACCCTGTGCCCATGTGGGAGACCTGGAGAAGTTCCTTGATCCTGGCTTCAGATTGGCATAGCATCGACCGTTGCGCTCACTTGGGGAGTGAATCATTGGACGGAAGATCCTTCTCACTGTCTCTCCTCCTCTCTGTATATCTGACTTTCCAATAAAAAATAAATCTTAAAAAAAAAAAAAAAACACTGCCTGTGGTGCCACCATCCCATACGGGTGCTAGTTTGTGTCCTGGCTGTTCTACTTCTGATCCAGCTCTCTGCTAGTGGCCTGGGAAAGCAGCAGAGGATGACCCAAGGAAGTCCAGGGGGAGTTCCCGGTTCCTGACCGTTGTGGCATCTGAGGAGTGAATCAAGAAATGGTCTTTCTGTCCCTCCCTGTCTCTGTGTTACTCTTTCAATTAAATAAACTAAATCTTGGGTGTGGAAAGGCAAGACTTTTTTAGATTCAAGGAGATTTTAGATCTACTGCTGTGTGATCTATGGGGGTGGGAGATGAGAGGAAGGATGCGTCTGAGATACGGGGGCAGGCATTCCATCAGGGGGTGCTCCTGAGCCAAGGCCTGGCGGAGGAGGTACAGGTGCTTTGGGGGAACAGCCAGCCATGAGCCTTGAAAGTCCAGGGAGAGGATGCAGATGGCTTCTCTGGGCTCCAGGCACCTGCAGATGATGGGGTCTGAGGAAGGTGAGGCATGGCTGATGCTCTGCCCCTGTCTCCACAGGACATGCGGAAGCACGTGACCATGACCCTGCTGGACACGGAGCAGTCATATGTGGAATCACTGCGCACCTTAATGCAGGTGAGGCCTGGGTCCCTGGGAAGGGCCACTCTGAATCCAGGAGACTGTCAGACAGGGACAGGTGGGAGTGAGCCCATTCCATGGCCAAGGGCTAGAGTCAGAGAGCCACAATCCTGGGAGCCACCTCCTGGCTGTGTGGAATCTCCACGCCACACCAGAGGAGGAGGAAGTACCCTTCAGGACATAAGCCCACTGCTCACCCCACACTGCCCTTGCACCCCCTCTTGGCAGCCCTGGAGCTGAGCTTAGTCCTCTGCGGGGACTAGCTGAGTGGTTGAGGCTTGTGGAATCCTGCAGGAGGCCAGTGGCTCCTGCTGAGACATGCTTTCTGAATCACAGAATCGGGCCGGGAGCAGGCCTGGCACCTTCAGAGCTCTGTGCGACTGGCCTGCAATCGAGAGGGTGGTCCCATGTCACACTGTGGGACACGGGAGGTCTTAACTTGGCCCAGCCCAGACTCAGCCAGGGTTTTAAGCAAGGATTCGTGCCGCCCAAAGCCTGACTGCTGGGAAGGTGGGTGACAGAAGAGGGGGCTGCCACTGAGATCAGACCAGGGCCAGAAAGCTGGGAACAGGTATTTGGGAGGTCGGTTGGTCAGGCTAGATGTGGTGGGATGGGATAGTGCTGGGGGCCTGGCCTGAGGAAGGTGGAGCTCAGGGCAGAGGTCAGGGTGGTAAGTTCGTTTAGATACATGATGGGGAAGCCTGGAGCCTGGGTGCACCTGCAGGCCTGGAGCTCTGGGTGGAGCGTGCAGGCCAGAGCTGCAGTAGTCTCAGTTGCACATGAACTTGCTCAGACCACCAGGGCAGAATGAGAGCAGAGAGGGAAAGGTAGGGCCCTGGATACCCAGAGCATTTACACATTTGTTCGTTCATGGCACACATCTGCAGCTAGCCCTATGCATGCCGCAGCGAGCAGGACTCTGGGCAAGGAGGACTGCCTGTCTAGTGGTGAGCTGTTTCCCAGAGCCATGGTCTAGGCAGACGAATCACATGAGGGATGGGGGACAGTGTGCAGGTGTGCAGCGAGAGTGTGCTCAGAGCAGGTGGCACACAGCTTCAGAGAGGCGGGCTGGGCCATGCCGGGCCTGCAGGCACTGTGCTTCAGGAGCTAAGCCGGTCACAGGAGGCTGGATCCTGACCAGACATCTACCGACACCAGCTCCCTGGCGGAGTCACAGGGCGTAGACAGCAGCATGGTGGCTGTGGAAGCCAGGAAGGAGGTTAATTGGCAGGGGGAGTTGAACATTACAGGCTACACAGCAACCTGAAGGAGCTGAATGTGAGTGATGAGCTGGGCTTAAAATGGCTACATTTCCTAGCATGTTGAGACTTTCTTACGCCTAGTATATGGTTATAACTGTGCAAGGAAACACATTGTCTTCCTTTAAGAGATATAGGAAAAGGGACAAGCACAGAAGAGGAACCTGCCTTGCTGCCAGGAGGGGGTCAGGGGAGGCACCGCCTGAGACCTGAAGGGTGGGTGAGGACTTCCCAGAGAAGAGGGGCTGGCTGCAGGAGGAGGAAGTAGGGCATGGTGTCTGGAGGAAGGTGGCACTTAAGGGGCTGCCTGGAGTGAAACAGAAGGAGACCATGCAGGACCTGCAGGCTTTGCTGTAGCAGGGACATTGCCCCCTCCCTGCTCCCAGCATGCCCAGCAGTGGCAATCCCAGGGGAGAGGAGAGTCCCCTGTGTGTAGGGTGGAGGCCTTAGGCCCAGCTGGTCTAGGCTTTGAGTCACCTGGCTCCCTGCTGGGCAGTAGGAACCCAGTCACCTCACTGCTCTGAGCCTTCGTCGCCACCTGCTACATGTAAATAGTCACCTTTATTTCCCAGTGCTAGGACAAAGGCAGTGCAGCCACCGCCACCCAGGCCTGCTCACACAGACAGGACGGGCATGGGACTGGGGCCGAACGAATCTGTGGGGGTTCCTCTGCCTTGGAATCTCCCAGGCCCTGCCCGAGTCTGCACAGGGGGAAGATGTACAGGAGTTGGAGATGGAAGGAATCCAGTGGAGAGTATTGGGTGGGGATGGGTCAAGCCAGGCAGGAGATGGCCGCTGGAGCCAAGGAGTGCTGCTCCACGTCACCCCAGAGTGAGCAACAGAGGCCTGAGGTCCGGCCCAGGGGCCTGTCTGGAGTGGGGGCAGGAGCCCAGCTTCAAAGGTGGCTTCTGCTCTGGATCAGAGGGGTGACCTGGACCATCCCTGCATCTGTCCCCGACTCCTCAGCTGTCACATGCAGTTCTTGCAGTGCCTGCCTCCAGTGCGGGTTACGAGAGATGTGTCTGTAACCAAGCATTCTGTTTGTGATTCTGTGTGCTTGTAGAGAGCTGTGTTGAATCCCTGTCCTAACCTTGTGAGGTAGCTGCCATGATCCCCTTCTTCCCACAAGGAACTAAAGGCTCAGAGAGGTTAGGAGCCTTGCCCAGGGTCATCCATGCAATGAGGGGCCGTCACAGTGTTTCCAGTGGTGGCTGAGCTGGGCGGGCACAGCTCCAAGTGTTCACCATGGCTGATTTATACCCACAATACCCAGAGTCCTGTCTCCCAGAGGACGAAGCTAATGAAGCCAGAACCTGGGGGCAGAGCTTGTCAGTAAGACCCTGGGTCCTCTCTCTTGCTCAGTGGCTTGCACTGCCTGAACCACAACCATGTGCAAGTTGAGGTGGGATTCCCAGGCCCTATCCCAGCTCTCTCCCCTCCATGGTCACTGTCACACACCAATGAGCCCATTCTGTGGGTCAGCAGTTTCAAATGCAGAGAAGTTAAACATCAAGGGTGCTGGCTGCAGGAGGTGGGATTTGAACCCAACTCCAAAGGCTACTCCACTTCTTTCGTGTCACCTTCATCCCCTGGGCCAGGTGACACTCCCCTTCCTGTCCCTGCCCCCACCAGGTGCCTCCTAGCACACTGCAGAACCATTCCATTACTTGTTATGACTTTTTGCTGCCTCCTCTTACTTACCCCCTGCTCAAATGTCTACTTCTTGGGTGCAAGGGTTTCATCTGTTTGCTGAGGTAGCCCAGAGCCTGACAGGCTGGCACACAGCAGTTGCTCAGTGAGCCTTGGTTGAGTGAGTGTGGTGTGGGGTGGCTGTTGACACTTCCCTACCTCTGTGTGCCCATTGGAAGCTGGAACGGAGTTGCACCTGAGCTGGCCTAGACCAGGCTCTGTCGCTCGCTGCCGCTGCCTGCTCTGTCATCCTGGCCTTTTCAGGATTCCCGGGCAGGCGAGAGGATTCTGTTGAGCCTGACTTTCTCCAACTTATTTTACAAAACAAGCCACATTTTCTCAAATGTTTAATGTAAATGTTACTGCAGCCTCGGGTATGCTTTTCCAAGCAACACCATTTCTTTGGCATGTAGTTTCAGTGATGACCAGTAGAGGGAGACTACTCTGAGAACACTCCCTGTTTTGAGCTCGGCTGTTTGCAGTCTCTGGATGTAGATATGAAGCCATTAGATCCAATAGCATTCAGGTAGTGTCGCTAGAAACCTCCTGTGCCCCTTCCCTCTCTCCTATACCTATCAATTACCACAAGGGAACCAGTCTGAGACCCACCCATAGTCCTAACATTTGAGCATCTCTGAAATCAGGGTCCATCCTGTAATATTGGGGTGTATCATCTAATTGGCAGCAAGGCTTTTATTTTCCCCTTAAAATTGCTGAAAGGTGATTTTATCCCCCGTATTCCTTTTCTTTGCATGTTTCATTCAACTAGATTGTCAGCTGTGTCAGGGTCTTGGTTCTTGGCACATACTTGGTGAGTTACTGGGGAGGAGGTCCTCCCCAGGAGCCCTGTCATCCTCTATGCTTAATGTAAGCTTTGTCAGTGCATCCTGTAGGCCTTTCTCTGAGCCCCACCACCATGTCTTGTTCCAGGCTTCAGGCCGGGCACCAAGGGTGTGGGAATAGATCTTCCCCCTGCTCCCGGAACTCAAAGTCGAGTGAGGCAGGAGTAGGAAACAGGACACTGCTCTATAGGCCTGGGCGACTCCCATGTGCTTTCACACAGAGACTTAAGTGGGTTGGGCTGGGTACCCTTCTCTGGGGAGTATGTGCTGACCCTGTGGGTCCCCCAGGGCTACATGCAGCCACTGAAGCAGCCCGAGAACTCCTTGCTGTGTGACCCATCGCTGGTGGATGAGATCTTTGACCAGATCCCCGAGCTGCTGGAGCACCACGAGCAATTCCTGGAGCAGGTGCGACACTGTGTGCAGACCTGGCATGCCCAGCAGACGGTGGGAGCCCTGCTTGTCCAGTCGGTGAGTGGCCCTTTGCCCCTTGCTTCCCTGGGCCCTCCTGGAAGAGGCTCCATGCTACTAAGAACTACCTCACCTGGATTGACTCTGAGCCCAAACTCAACCCCAAAACTTGACAAGACCTGGAAGTTGACTCCAGTCCCTGGGTGGACTTGAACATGGCCTCTGCTTAACTCCAGAGCTGGGCTGGACTTTGGGCCAGACCCTGGTACTGACTTGGCCCTAGTCCTGAGTCTGAGGTGGTTCCAGTGCCCAGCTGGGCATTTGAACTGAGCTCAGCCCCTATCGTGCCCAGGCCTAAACAGCTGCCTCAGTCGTGACCCTGGACTTGGTCATACATACCTGACCTCACGCAGACTGCATCATTTCTGGTTGGAGGTGACAAATGTACACTGGGAATCAACAGAGAGAAACAGAATAAGCTAGTGGGTGAGGGACTCCATGGGATCCCCAATCTGCCTTTTCACCTACAGTTCTCCAAGGATGTCCTGGTCAACATCTATTCTGCCTACATCGACAACTTCCTCAATGCCAAGGATGCCGTGCGAGTGGCCAAGGAGGCCAGACCTGCCTTTCTCAAGTTCCTAGAGGTACATGGCCTAGGGCCTGGGTGGTGGTGGCTGCCCCTTGGCCATCACAGAGAGCCCAGCCCAGGTAACATGACCCTGGCCTGAAAGGGCTCAGCCTGTTCTTTCTGGCTGAGCTAGAGGGGCTTGCTGGGGGCCTGTGCCCAGACATGCCTTTCCTGGCCTTCCTACCTTGCTCAGATGCCCATCCGCCTGCTTCTGGTTTCAGCAAAGCATGCGCGAAAACAAGGAAAAGCAGGCTCTGTCTGACCTCATGATCAAGCCAGTGCAGCGAATTCCACGCTATGAGCTTCTGGTGAAGGTGGGCGTGGAGCTGAGGAGTTGGGGGAAGGGTGAGCTGGGCCCAGAGCCACGGGGTGGGCTGTAGGGTGCCTCAAGCCCTCCATCTGGCTGAACCTAGTGTGAGGATCTGCAGGTGAGAGGGCAAGTCCTTGCTCCAGCAGCTGGCCCATGGCATCTCAACTAGTGTGTCTGGCCCCATTCCCATCCCAGGACCTCCTGAAGCACACACCCGAAGACCACCCAGACCACCCGCTCCTGCTGGATGCTCAGCGGAACATCAAGCAGGTGGCTGAGCGCATCAACAAAGGCGTGCGGAGCGCTGAGGAGGCAGAGCGGCATGCCCGTGTGCTACAGGAGATCGAGGCGCACATCGAGGGCATGGAGGATGTGCGTGCTGGACAGCCCCACCCCGCCTCTGTGTCTGCTCAGACCCTCTGTCTGCATCTGTGGTCACCTGGAGTCGTGTCCGTGTCCGTGCCTGCGCTGGGGTCTGTGGTGTGCCTGCCTCCATGTCTCCTGGCCTGTCCCAGCCGCATCCTTTTCCCCAACCTGTCTGTGACACACACGCTGGCCGGGGTGGAGGGTGGTGTGTGTGTGTGTGTAGACCCTGGGGTTTGAAGGCGGAGGGAGTAATATGTAGCCTTCAGGATACCCCGGCTCTCCTGCCCCACAGCTCCAGGCCCCTCTGCGGCGGTTCCTGAGGCAGGAGATGGTCATCGAAGTGGTAAGCAGTGCCCCGCCATCAGTGCACCTGTGCCCACCTCCCTACTCACACCTGCTGCCTGGGTCGGCCGGCTTTTCCATCCCAGTTGGGAAAGACCCCCACCCCTCCTGGAGCCCCTCTGGGAACTTGGTGAACCGTGTGCACCCCAGCCTGAGTCCCACCTTGGCCCCCACAGAAGGCAATCGGTGGCAAGAAGGACCGGTCCCTCTTCCTGTTCACCGACCTCATTGTCTGCACCACGCTGAAGCGCAAGTCGGGCTCTCTGCGGCGCAGCTCCATGAGCCTGTGAGTGGCTGAGCAGGGCTAGGCTGGCATGGGCGGCCCTGGGTCCCTCTCCCCAGCTCCCTAGCTAGAGTGCTCCCTCGTCGGCTCCCCTCAGGTACACAGCAGCCAGCGTCATCGACACGGCCAGCAAGTATAAGATGCTTTGGAAGCTGCCGCTGGAAGATACAGACATCATCAAAGGTGGGTGGGTGGGTGGGCCTGCGTGGGGTGTTGCGGTCTTTCTGAGGAACCCTGCCATGAGCGTTTGTGTTGTAGACTGCTTGCCTGTCTCCTTACTCTGTTGCTTTATGTCCCACTTTGCCAGGCAGCCCAAGGGGGCTGGCATAGAGGTCCCAGATGGCACCCAAGGAGTATCTGTGCTGACCCACTTCTGACTGGGCTGGAGGGGTAGGGGTGCAGGGCACAGAGAGTGGCTGTTAAATAGCCAGTGACCCACTTGTCCAGCCAGCTGCTGATGCGCTGCCCCACCTCAGGTGTGTGCATAGGGAACACCACCCATTTGAATGAGGTCCGACAAGGGATACATGCAGAGATGGTGAGCCCGCTGGAAGCTCCCGTCCCCACTATTTCTCCTCTTCCCACCCTGAGTGCCCCCTTGTCCTGCCTCCTTGGAACTCCAGGAGTGGGACCACACTCGGTCCCCAGGAAGGGCTGAACTGGTGGTCACTGTGTATGCCCATCCTAGTCCTTCTCATGGGAGGAGAGGCCAGCTTAGTGACTGCCTTCAGGTCAGGTGCCCTGCTGTGGCCTGTCAGCTGCTCAGACCTGAACAGGGCAGGATTGCATGGAAGAGAGCACAGCTGCCTGCGCAGTCTGTCCCACCAGGAGTCTGGAACTGTCTGGGCTGCTGTAGCAAACGCTGCACATTGAGTCATGTCTTAGCAGAAACATGTTGCTCACACTTCCAGAGTTGGCAGCTCTGGTGCCTGCTGAGCAGCCTCCCTGGCTGCGTGCTCGCGTTGCCCAAAGGCACCAGTTCTCTCTCTCTGAGGCCTCTTTTTTTCTTTTTTAAAGATTTTATTTGTATTGGAAAGTCAGATATACAGAGAGGAAGAGAGACAGAGGAAGATTTTCTGTCATTGATTCACTACCCCAGTGGCCACAACAGCCGTAGTTGAACTGACCCAAAGCTTCTTCAGTAACTTCTTCTGAGCTTCTTCTGAGTCTCCCACATGGATTCAGGGTAGCAAGGCTTTGGGCTGTCCTCAGCTGCTTTCCCAGGCTATAAGCAGGGAGCTGGATGCGAAGTGGGGCTGCCAGGATATGAACTGTGGGATCCGTATGGGATCCTAGAGTGTGCAACATGAGGGCTTTAGCTACTAGGCTACCATGCAGGGCCCAGGCCTCTTTCTTTATTATGCATTTGTAAAAGATTTATTACTTGGGGCCCAGTGCAATAGCCTAGTGGTTAAAGTCCTCACCCTGCACACGCCAGGATCCCATATGGGTGCTGGTTCTAATCCCGGCAGCCCCACTTCCCATCCAGCTCCTTGCTTGTGGCCTTGGAAAGCAGTCGAGGATGGCCCAAGGCCTTGGGACCCTGCACCCATGTGGGAAACCCAGAAGAGCTACTGGCTCCTGGGTTCGGATTGGCTCAGCTCCAGCCACTGGGGCCACTTGGGGAGTGAACCATCGGATGGAAGATCTTCCTCTCTTTCTCCCCTTCTCTCTGTATATCCGCCTTTTGAGTAAAAATAAATAAATCTTAAAAAAAAAAAGATTTAGTACTTGAAAGGCAGTTACTGAGAGAGAAAGAGATTTTACATCTATTGATTCACTTCCCCAAATGGCTACAAGAAGCCTGGACCAGGTCAAGCTGAAGCCAGGAGCCTGGAGCTCCATCAGGTGCTCCCACATGGGTGCAGGGTCCTGGACATCACTACCGTCTTCTGTGCTTTTCTAGCAGCACTAGCAGGAGGCTGGATCGGAAGTGGAACAGTCGGAACTCGAATCAGAGCTTATACAGGATCTCCGCTCTGTCCCATTAAGCCTCTTTTTAAGGGCACTAATTCCATCCATGAGGGCTCCACTCTCACCGTCTTCATCAGATAGCGGGGGACACAGACCTTCAGGTCACAGCAGAAGAGTTTTCCAGCTTGGCTGGTCTGGAACATTCCAGTGCTGTCCGCTCAGCCCACCCCTCGCTTTCCCTGGAAGCAGTACGTCAGCCTCTTGTTCCAACCTGCTTCCATGTCAAGGTCATAGCTTTGTGCCCCTTGGCCCTGCAGGGTCCCTGGTCACAGGGCTAGTGCAGACACTGCTTGCCGTTCTGGTGCGGTCAGGGCCTCATCCGGAGTTTTCTTCCTCACCATCCTACAGCCTGCAGCCCCAATGGCTACATACACCCATCACAGGGAAGTTAGAACAAGTGGCGTCATTGAAGGGGAAAAAAATACAAGAGTGAGCCGCTTCCTTTCCCTTGATTTCCAGACCTGTATGTGCCACCCCCAGGGGCTGGCCACTGGGCAGTGGGCACACACCAGGGTAGGACCAGAGGAATCTAGGGCAGCTGCTCATGGGCCCTGCCCTTGTGGGACAATGAGTCCCTTGGTCAGCAGATTTCACTGCCTGAGGCTCTGCCTGCCTGGCCACCCCCACCCCCACCCCGGAAAACTGCGCCCGGGTCTGCAGAGCCATCTGCCACTCTGTCCTTGTGCTCTCTGGGGGAGTGCCCCAAGGACTGACATCCTGTGTCTTGTGGCTCTCTTAGGCTTGGTGGCTTGTGCCTGACAGCTGGGTATCTATAAACCCTTGGTTTGCCAGGCCACGGCTGTGAGCCATGTCTGTGTATCCAAGCCTTACCTTGTCTGCATGGCCATCCATTCCTCTGTGCCCTGCAGGGGCCTCCCAGGCCACCAATCGGGAGAACATCCAGAAAGCCATCAGCCGCCTGGACGAGGACCTCAACACCCTGGGCCAGATGAGCAAGCTATCTGAGAGCCTCGGCTTCCCCCACCAGGTCGGTCCCTCTGCCTGTGGCCAGAGCAGGACAGTGGAACAGGCCTGGACCCTGAGGGAGGAGTCATCTCTGCAAAGGGAAATGACAGCCTCACCGCCCCCCCCCCCCGAGTTCAGGTCTGAGGGTGGAGACACAGCTTCACTCCCATCTCAGGGTACGGGTGTCCGAGCTCTTGGTCCTCAAGAGGGGAGTAGCATCCATTTTCTGTTTGTGATAAGGGGAGGGTCTCCACCTTATTCCCAAGTGCAGGTGAGGGTACTCAGATTCACTTGGGCTTGAGACCTGAACCCTATCCCTACCCCACTGCCAGGGCCTGGATGATGCGCTGCGTGATCTGTCAGCGGCCATGCACCGGGACCTGTCGGAGAAGCAGGCGCTATGCTACACGCTGTCATTCCCACCTACCAAGCTGGAGCTGTGTGCCACGCGGCCCGAGGGCACTGACTCCTTCATCTTTGAGTTCCCCCACCCCGATGCCCGCCTGGGCTTTGAGCAAGCCTTTGACGAGGCCAAGAGGAAGCTGGGTAAGCCAGGGCCCCCTGGATAGGGGCACACCCTGGAGCTGACTTTGACTTTAGGTGGCCAGAAAAGGAAATTTCAGAATGGCACAGGCCGATGCTCAGGCAGCTGGTGGGGAAGGTGGCCTGAAACCTCTGCAGGGGGACATTGTGCTGAGGGGTCAATGTGGCCAAGACCTCCCCGTGCTGAGCAGACCTGGGTTGGGGCAAGCTAGCAATCAGGATCTCTGCAGCCAACACCCTCGTGGTGAGGCTGGGAGAACTGAGGCCAGGCACAAGTGAGGTATAACCAACAGCCAGCTCACCCCAGCATGGCTGAGATCAGATCTCTCTCCAGACAGATACTGTGGGCCTTGAGAGGGAGAAGAGTGGGCAAAGGCCAGGGCTGGGGTGGGGTCCAGGCTAAGCAGGGTCTGTCTGTGTGTCTCTCTGCACGACAGCATCCAGTAAAAGCCGGCTAGACCCTGAGTTCCTGAAGGCCATCCCCATCATGAAAACCCGCAGTGGCATGCAGGTGTGTGTGTGTACACATGTGCGTGTGTGTATATATGTGGGTCACCTGGCTGGGCATGTTCAAAGCCAGCACATGTTTGTAAATTGTTCTGTGTGTCATGTTGCATTCATACCTTGACTTTGAACTTGCTGCTCACTCTGGATATGCATGGGGCGCTGGCATGCCTGTTACCTGTGAAGGGATGTGTTACTTGTCACTCTATCTGTGCATAGGAGGGAAGGCTACACAATGGGGGTAGGTATGGCTAATTGAAATGTTTGTGTGACTCGTGTACATATGGATACCTGGGGTTGTACTCAGGATATGTGTCTGCATGTATGCAGGTGTAGGGAATGCCTGTATCACGTAGGCATAAATGCTTGTGCTATATAAGGTACATGTGTGTAGAAACGGGAGTATAAGTTTCTGGGCACTCCTGCATAGGCCTGACTCCCCTCCATCTGCTGGGGTTGCACAGTAGGATTGCTCAGGAACTGATGGCTGCTCCTCCAGTTACTTTTTATCGTGCCTTGGTCTTTCCCACAGTTCTCTTGTGCAGCTCCCACCCTCAGCAGCTGTCTGGAGCCCACACCTGAGGTGTGGGTGTGCAACAGTGATGGTTACGTGGGCCAGGTGTGCTTGCTGAGCCTGCGTGCTGAACCAGACGTAGAGGCCTGCATCGCTGTCTGCTCAGCCCGCATCCTCTGCATCGGGGCAGTGCCTGGCCCACAGCACTGCAGCCACGGGTGAGGACCAGGCAGTCTTGGCCAGTGGGTGGGCCAAGGATGCAGCTGTGTGTGGGGCAGGCCTGTGGGCCGAATTGGCAGGCCTGGCCATGGGACACCCACCAACTGCCCTTGTCTCTTGCCTTTGGTTTATAGGGAACTGCCCACATCCCTGAGGGGTGGCCCTGATCCAGCACCAGAGCCTGCTGGGCCAGACCTGGATGTGGAGACCGCCGAGGAAGAAGTGGTGACTTCGCTGGCAGAGCCAGGGCCTCAGCCCTGCTTGCACATTTCCATCACGGGCTCTGGGCTGGAAATGGCGCCAGACCCTGCAGAGGAAGATCCCCGTCCAGAGTTGGTGCCCTTCGACAGCGACTCAGATGATGAGTCCTCACCCAGTCCCTCGGGAACTCTGCAGAGCCAGGCCAGCCGTTCCACCATCTCCTCCAGCTTTGGCAGTGAGTGGGGCTGGCGAAGTGGGCAGGGGCCAGGACAGCCAAGGCTGGAGGGCAGTGGACCCATAGATGGAATCCAGGAGGCCCTCGCATTCTGGTGTGCCCGGGGCATTTGGGGAAGGGCCCTGATGGGACCCGGGGTCTGTGATAGGTTTACAAAACCAGAGCTGCCACAGAGGCTCCTAAGGAAGGATGAGGCCCCCAGGTGAACACAGCCAGGAGGGATGCAGTGGGCCCAGGCCATGGAGACAGCTGCCTGCATCTCATGCAGATGAGGAGACCCCCAGCTCCAAGGAGGCCACGGCAGAGACAACCAGCTCCGAGGAGGAGCCAGAACCTGGCTTCCTGCCACTGTCCGGCTCCTTCGGGTCCGGCCGTCCTTGTGGGGCAAGCCCGATGGACGGAAGAGCCCTCCGCCGCTCCAGCCGCGGCTCCTTCACCCGTGGCAGCCTGGAGGACCTGCTGACCGTCGACCCTGAGGCCTACCAGAGCTCCGTGTGGCTGGGCACTGAGGATGGCTGGTAGGGGCACAGAGCCTGGAGCTCCCTGCTCTGAAAAGTGCGGTGTGTCCCGGAACGGGAGGGTTTGGGGTCCTGCCAGCCAGGGAGGGGTGCCTGCAGGCCTGGGAGTTCCCCCAGGGGGGCTGTGGGCTCTTGGTGCCTCAAGCAGGAGCAGCAGAGGGGTGGTTCCTGGGAGTTGTGTGCCTTGAGCACCTGGCCCAGGTGTGCACCCCTGACCCACAGCGTCCACGTGTACCAGTCCTCTGACAGCATCCGCGACCGCAGGAACAGCCTGAAGCTCCAGCATGCAGCTGCCGTGACCTGCATCCTGTAAGCCTAGTGCGGCCCCTGACACGTAGCCTCCATGGCAGCGACCCTCATAGGCCTGTTCTGTTCCCGTGGGCTCTCCACTCTGCAGGGTCCTCCCTGCTCATGTGCTTCTCACCTCCTGCATGAGTCGCTCCCCCCTCTAGACCACAGGTTCCTCTCAGCTGGAGCACGGGTTGGGTCAGGAGGAGCCACAGCCCTCCTCATCATGGTCCCCCCTGACCCCAGCTGACTCATGTGGCCTCAGGAAATCCATCCCTGACTCCTCCCTCTTGTCCTTGCCCAGGTATCTCGATAACCAGGTGTTTGTGTCCCTAGCCAATGGGGAGCTCGTGGTCTACCAAAGGGAAGCAGGTGGGTGCCGCTGTACCCCACCCTTATCCATACTAATGCCAGCCTTCTGCTGGCATTGTAGTTCTCTGCAGGGCCAGGCTGGGGCTGGGGGCTGCCACTGCAGAAGAGGTTTTGGGAGATTTTCTACCTGTCCTTGAGCTCAGTGTCTTCAACTACAGTTAGGGAGCTTAACCCCTTTTTTATTTATTTTTCTCCCTCTCTAATTCTTTCTTCTTTCTTTCTTTTTAATTCTTCCTTTCTTCCTTTCTTTTCCCCTAAGGTTTACTTATTTATTTGAAAGTCAGATGCTGAGGAAGAGGGATTCATTTGTTCACTTCCCACATGGCTGCAGCAGCCAGGGCTAGGCCAGCCAGGACTGAAGCTAGGAGCCAGAAGCTTCATCTGGGTCTCCCATGTAGGTGCAGGGGTCCAAGCACATGGGCCATCTGCTGCTTTCCTAGGCAGTCTTACTAGTAGGGAGCTGAGTCAAAAGTGGAACAGTCAGGTTTCAAACTGGTGCCCTTGTGGGATCAGGTAGCTGCTTAACCCATCATGGCACAGCGCCAGCCCCATCCTCTGTTCATGGGACAGTGAGGCTTAGAGTCAGTCCTTCCCTAAATTTCTTGTTGCTTTTATCCTGTTGCAGGCCACTTTTGGGACTCCCAGAATTTCAAATCCGTGACCCTGGGCCCTCAGGGGAGCCCCATCACCAAGATGGTGGCCGTGGGCGGGCGATTGTGGTGTGGCTGTCAGAACCGAGTCATTGTCCTGAGCCCCGACACACTGCAGATGGAGGTAGCCTGGGATAGGGGGCTTGGAGTTGCTGACCTGGGCCTATGTAAGAGGGAGACACAGCCCTGGGGCTGGGGCTGGGTGATGCTGTGTTCTAACTGTCATTTCTGCCCTAGTTGGTGAGTATGGTGTGAGAGGGCTGGGGGGCACCCTTCCAGCGCCTCACTCAACTTTCTGCCCTACCTGGTCTTTGGGTGTTGATGTCAGTATCGCTTAGCTTTCAACTGTGGCCTTAGTGCTGCCTTCAATGTTCTAATGCATTGGAGGTTGCCAGCCTGGCTAGTGTCCAGGGGCCGCCAGGGTGCCTTGATGTCCCTGTCATGTATTCTGTCATTGCTGGGGCTGGGGGCCAGAGGCTGAGGTTCAGGCCTGACACTGTGCCCTTGGCCAGGTTTGCTTCCCCTTCTTGGCTTCATCTTCCCCTGCCCCATCTGCCAGGGAGAGACCAACAACTGGTCTTCAGGCTCTGAAGTTCTGTCATCTTTCAGTCCCTCAAATCCATTTTCCCTTCTAAGGATTAAATGGGAGATGCTGGGGAAACCAAGGTCTCAGGCCAAGTTTGTCGTTGATTGGCTTGGGTTACCTGGGGCGTGGCTATAAGGAGTGGGGGACAGGCCCTGGTGAGGTCAAAGTTGGGAAGTATGGACGCAGGGGGGCAGGCCTGCCTGTGGCCGACCTGCTCTCTCCTCGCCTGCCCTCCCTCCCCACAGCACACATTTCACATAGGGCAGGATTCAAGCCGCAGCGTGGCATGCATGGTGGACTCCAGCCTAGGGGTCTGGGTGACCTTGAAAGGGAGTGCCCACGTGTGCCTCTACCATGCGGATACCTTTGAGCAGCTGGCGGAAGTGGATGTCACCCCTCCTGTGCACAGGATGCTAGCAGGTATCCTCAGAACCACCACCACCACCACCCCTGGGACCCCTGGGTCCTTTTGGGCCTCTTCCTTGAGGAGGCCGGGACCCGGGCCAGGGTTTGGTTCCCTCTCAGCTCTGGTCCATTCCCCCACCCGCCCCCAGGCTCTGATGCCATCATCCGGCAACACAAGGCTGCATGCCTGCGGATCACGGCGCTGCTGGTGTGCGAAGAGCTGCTCTGGGTGGGCACAAGTGCTGGCGTCGTACTCACCATGCCTGCCTCACCTGGCACCGTCAGCTGCCCACGGGCAACTCTAAGCCCTGCTGGCCTGGGCCAGGGGCACACGGGCCACGTCCGCTTCTTAGCCGCAGTCCAGCTGCCCGACGGGTTCAACCTGCTGTGCCCGACCCCACCGCCTCCCCCGGACACAGGTGGGCCGGTACACTGTGCTCCCCACTGCCCTGTAGGAAGAGGTTTCCTAAGAGGGAGGGGGATTGTGATACAGAGCTGGGAGCAACGTACAGTACAGAAAATAGTCTGTGGAAGCCCCAAAAGGGATTCTCCCAGGGGAGTGTGTAGCTCTGTAAGATTCTGTGCAGGGAGGTGTCGTGAGTGATGGGGAGTGACCTATATGCTAAAAAGTAAAGTGGGCCCTGACTGATTCTGTGTGAAGCCTAACAGGACCAGTGTGCAGGACAGGATGTGAGGTCACAGAAGGATGTGCAGAACAGGAAGTAGGGATGGCACCCGAAAGCACAGGCACAACACAACATGGGACGTGACACAGGAAGAGACTGTGAGAAGGAGGGAGAGACCGACAGGAAGTGGTCTTCATCAGGAGTCAACACGGCCTCAGTCCGCAGGGTCCTGAAGGTTGGCTGTGTCCTGAGCAGCCCTTGGCTGTCTGACCTGGAGAAGGGTGTTGGTGGTCGGGTTCCATGCAGCCCTGGGCTGCTTAGCAGCAAGTGTGTGTTCCGGGCAATGTGTTTGCATCATCATGTGAACATCAAGGGCACGTCCGTGGCAGAGGCTTTTCCACTCTGAGGCTGTGAGGAATCCATGTGTGTGGCACAGCCCTTAGTGGTGGCTCCTGGGGTCACATGGAATAAAACACAAGAGAAGTGGTGCAATCAAGACACAGCAAAAGTCCTGTGCAAGACTGCTACCAGCGACACAGCACCCTGTTGTTGCACAGCCAGCTAGCTGTTGTAACAAGTAGAGAATGCTCACACAGTGGTAACAAAGTCTGGGAAGTTTCAAGGATGTTGGTAGTATCAGTCATGTATCTCACTGTTGAACATTAAGTGCTACTCTTTGGTGTGTGACTGGTGCAAGTGTGTTCTACTAGTCACAGACACAGAGCAGTGTGTTGTCCTGTGATGTCACTAGGTGGTAGGAAGTTTTCACTGTCTCCCTTACCATCTTGGGAGTCACACACACTGCCTGTGATCAACCAGAATGTCATTACAAGAATGAAGGTAATGAGAATGGCGAGGACATTCTGTCTGTGGCAGCCAAAACAGGTGGATGGTGTGCGACCCTGGGAAGCTGTGGGTTCTGTTCAGCTAGCATCGGGCAGGAAGACACGGTGGTGGGATTGGGGTGGGGGGGATGACAGCCAGAAAATGAGCAGATGGACATTTCTTTCCAAACAGGAAGTTCTGGGCTAACAGGAAGTGGGGTCCCTCACAGAAAGCCTGCCTCTCTTTCTTCCCATCTCCTGGGGTATGGGCGGCTCAGGTCCTGTCATCCCCCAGGGCTGACCCCTGCCCTATCTGTCCCCAGGCCCCGAGAAGCTGCCCTCCCTGGAGCACCGGGAGTCCCCTCGGCACCGTGGCCCCACTTCATCCAGGTCCAAAATGCTGGTCATCAGCGGAGGCGACGGCTACGAGGACTTCCGACTTAGTGGTGGCAGTGGCTGCAGCAGCGAGACCGTGGGCAGAGACGACAGCACAAATCACCTCCTCCTGTGGAGGGTGTGATGCTGGCCGCCGGGGCTCAGCACTTGCCTGCCTGCCCTCAGCCCACTTGCCTGTCCCTAGTCCCACACATGTGGACCTTGGCTGGAGCCACTGACCAGGGCCACCTTCGGGCACTGTCTCATCTGCGTGGATGCCTTCCTGATGGAACGGCCACCGGCCAGCTGGGCCAAGGCCTCTCTTGACCCACAGGTTGCTCCCAGTCATGATGAGGGTTGGGCCAGGAGGGCCCCCCAGGACCTCTGTTCCCTGGAGCTTCTACCAAAGACACGGCCTGGACCCCATGGGGCTGGCGAGGGCCATGTGCAATATTTGGAGGGTCTTCTGGGGCAAGGGGCAGGCCATGGGGGCGGAACCCTTCCCGTGTACAGTATTTATGTTTCTCTCCAAATGTGTACCTTCCCGAGCACTTATTTATGCAATGACCTGCGCCAGGGGGTGATTTGGGAAAATGACAGGAGGGAAAGACAAAAAAAAAACCCCCTATTGCTGCCCTTGCGGCCACCCACCCTGGGAACCCTGGCCAAGCCTTCCTCGAGGGCCCAGGTTCTCCCCCCACCCATCACACATGCACACACGCACTGCATGTTCAGGGGACAGAAATGCCACCCCGTAAAACAGCAGTCTCCCAAGGCCCTGTCCTGCTCAGGCGACGCTCAGTCACTCAGAAAAAGCTGATGTGGCCCAGGGCACAGCGACTCCCAGTAGGGGCTTTCCTGGGTCACGGGTCGTGCCTTTTGTGGTTTACTGGGTTGAGAGTGCTCGTCGGGGCCTTGGACAGGACTCCCTGTTGGCCTCGCCAGGTGAGGGCCCGGGCCCTGTGTGTCTTGGTAACTGGTCCCTGCTCTCCTCCCTGTGTCTCATGCACTGGCACATTCCGTCACAGTGGAGGGTGACCTGAGGGGCCCCCTTCCCTCTCACCTCCCCACTCCTTCTCCATATGTCCTCCTGTCGGGGACAGCCCCTTCAGGAAGGACCCCCACGCAAAACAAGGCCTGGATGTGGCCTGTTGGACTGGGGAGTCTCCCAGTGAAGGACACCCCTACCCCACCACATCCCCAGCCAACAGAGGGCTAGTCTAATCCGCAGTCCTCCCCGCCCTCTCCGCTTCTGCAGCTGCAACTCCAAAGGTCTGGTTTTCAATGGGACTTGTTACATTTGAATTTGTTCTTTTGGGGTGGGGGTCGTGGGTCCTTGCCATCTTAGATGATATGATGATATTTCTCTTGTTACCGAACAGTCTTGTATTAACTCTCCTTGGATGAAGTTTAAAGAGTCAATAAATAGAAACACCAAATGACTGTGCCCTATCGGTGGCCACTGCAGCCTCCTGCCAGCAACCTCAGGGCTCCGGCTTTGCCTCTGACACACTTGGGTAGAAAGGAGGCCTTGCAAGGGCTGGAGGCTGCGGATGGCAAGGCCATCGGTGACCTGGCTGTGTTCCTTGAGGTGTGTCAGTGCCCTTGCTTTCCCACCTGGAAGATAAAGGAGTTGGGAGCTTCCCAGCCATGCCAGAGTCCCTTACAAATAGCATGCGCAAATGCAAGCCATACAGACATCTGTTAACAGACGTGTCCGTCGGGAGCTCCTGAGGCCCGTGCTCTGGCAGGGTTGCAGGTAGGGAGCCAAGGCAAGGGGGAGGCTGTCCAGGGCTCTTCCAGAAAACGTTCCTAGCAAAGACTGACAGCCAGGAAGTCTGACTGAGGCCATGGTGAAGTCAGGCTTTGGAGCCTGGGGAGAGTCCGAGTCTGGTGGCTCATCCCTAGAGGGGCATCAATAAGTCTGATGCAAGAGTGCAAATGCCTAGCAGCGGGCAGCTGTCCCACACAGGGGCACAGGGCCTGTCACACCAGGAAAGGGCAGGATATGCCCCACACAGGTGGGCATTGCCAACCTGAAGGATTGGCTGTGAGATCAGCATGGACTTTTGGTGTGCACACTGGCACATATCTCAGGAGTTGGCTCTTCTCGAGCGGTGACACCGGGATATGCAGGGAACATGTGCCCACAGCAGAATTACACCGGGCAGGAAGGGGTTACAGTGCACTGAGAAGGAGAGGCTTGTTCAGGGACTGAGGACACAGCAAAGCATCAGCCAACATGGGCTGCAAAGCCAAGCAGACCTTTCCTTGGAATCCTTGGCTTTGCCACTGGCCAGTTCTGTGGCTGGTTCAGCTGAACCCCCTCAGAGCCCCCTGTTTCCTCCTCTATGAAATGGTGATGGTGGTCCTTTCCCAGGCAGGAGCTTTGCTTAGTGTGCACAGGTTGCAAGAGCATCCAGTCCTCTTGAGAGGGATGCTTTTTGTGGGGCCACAAAGGAGCAGCAAATAGCTGTAGGGGAGCATAGTGGGCCATTTGGATACTTGGCCTTTTCCCTTCCAGTCTTAAGCCAATCTGAGACCAGGAGCCAGTACCTTCTTCTGAGTATCCCACATGGGTGCAGGGTCTCAAGGCTTTGGAACATCCTCTATTGCCTTTCCAGGCTACAAGCAGGGAGTTGAATGGGAAGTGGAGCAGTCAGGGCATGAACCAGTGCCGATATGGGATCCCGGAAGTTGGAGGTAGAGGATTAGCCAATTGAGCCATTGTGCCAGGCTCCTTGTCCCTCTCTTGCTGCCAGCCACTGCCAGCTACTGTCACTTTCACTGGTCACAGGCCTCAGGGCCTCCACACCCTCAACACACAGGTCACAGGGCTGACTTGTTTGCCCAAAGTTAGTCTCACCTGGTTCCTAGCTGAGCATTGCTTTTTGGCATTGGATTGGTGCAGCCTGCAGTGACTTAGAAGGCCATCTCCCAGGTTACTGGCCAAGCTGTGAGCTGCTGTCCTTGGTCAGCTGTGGGTAGGGCGGCACTGGGATGAACCAGAGTCAGACCCAGGGAAGCCCCCTGGCTGGATTAGCTCTGCTAAAGCAAAGATTCTCAGCCTTGGTTGAGCATTAACACCTACCTTCCCAAACCTGCTAAGTCAGAACTCAGTGCAATCCACTTACCTGTTTCTTAAGGACTCTGGAAGTCCAGCATACAAGAATGTCATGGGAGTGCGGCTTGGTGGGACTCATCACTAGAAGCTCCCCACACACCCTCCTATCCTCACCCCCCTGGTTGCTAGCTGACACCACCTTAGAGCTTTACCAGCTACAGGGAGAAGCACCTTGAATGCATCGGAATCCCATATGGGCAGCCCAGCTTCCCATCCAGCTCCCTGCTTGTGGCATGGGAAAGCAGTCAAGGACAGCCCAAGGCCTTGGGACCCTGTACCTGCGTGGGAGACCCAGAAGAAGCTCCTGGCTGCTAAATAAATCTCTTTTTTTTTTTTTTTTAAAGAAAGAAACGTTGCTTTAAGGGCCATGGCTAGGGATTCAGTCTTCTATGGCTAGGGATTCAGTCTTGGACCTGGTACTGGAGAGATGTCTTGAGGCAAGGTAAGGAGGGGTGAGTATAAGAACTTGAAGCTGGAAGCACCTTGGATAGTCCCAAATGAAACACAGGGCCAAGAGGCAGGGGCAGCTGGAACATGGAACAGAGCTCTGTGAGGGTGGGACTTGGTTCAGTGGCCTGGCACACCACAGGTGCACAGCGCATGACTGTTGAGTGAATTCTGGAGCTTTCAGCTGAGATTCAATGGCAGGTCTTGACTGTCTCCCAACAGTAGCCCTTGCTGAGGGCTCACTGGACCAGGAGTGTGAGTCATCTCTTCACAAGACCTCACAGTGACCTGGCACATGGAGGTCTCTCACCTGCTAATTCAGGACCTGAATCCACAACGAATCTGTCTGTTCAGTCTCTATGCCTTGTGGCATAGGGGAAAGGGCAGCCACGTGGGTGCTGGAGCCTAGAGGAAGCCACCTGAATGACCAGAGTAGCTCTGGAGGAAGGAGGAATCACTGAGTGCCATCTCCTCTTCCAGGCAGCGCTCCATGTGGCCACTTGGGTCAGGGACATAGCACAGCATGTCCAAATATCTAAGGAGGAGGATGAGGCTCAGAGAGGGGAGGGACTCAGTAGGGGGCACACTATAAGGCAGCATTGAGGCTGGGTGGCAGTGGACAGGACAACCCAGGCAGGAAGGCTTCCTGGGGCTCTTAAGAACCAGGCGAGGTGGAAGTGGGGGGCCCTCCTGTAGACCCCCAGCCAGCCTCAGTGCTTGTCCAGATCTCAGGCAGTGGGAGTACTAAGTCTGGCTCAGGCCCTGGCCTAGATCTGGATAGACAGGGACCAGGAGGGGCTAGAGGACCGAGGCATCTGAACTCCAGCTCCTCCGGCGCTGGCCTCTCCTCTATGGCACAAGACAAGCACTTGTCCCTCTTGGGACACCGGTGACCTCTGTGAGCCCTTCACATCTTTGGGGTGCCTGCCAAATCCCTCTGTCCTCCCAGGGCCAGGTTGCAGGAAGCGGTAAAGAGAAATGCTATTTTGGGCCCAATAATGGCCAATGAGGTCCCTGCTTGGCAAAGGCAGGTGAACAGGCAGTGCAGGCTGGGCTCAGGGTAGATTGCCCACTGACCTGAGGAGAGACAGAGAGAGAACCTGGGCAGCAAGGCTTCCTGAGGGCTCTTAGGAACCAGGGGAGGGCGCATGCCCTAGGGAGATATAGGGGCCATGGTTTCCTCCTGCTCATGTTGGGCTGCAGGGAGGGGTTCAGGACAAATGCCTCAGCAAGGAAGTGTGGCAGAAGGCACAGCAGGGTTCTCACACCCAGGGGCCAGGAGAAGCTGAGGCCACTCACCGTGGGGTCTCAGCAGATTCTCCTTACATTGGGGAGGGGGGCTTGCATTCAGGGATGACTCGCTCAGGGCCACACAGCGTGGCCATGGCAAAACTGAGACCCCATCATTAACCTGGGTGATCCAAAGCACGGATTCTTCTGTCTTAGTCCTTATTTCCTCTTCTCCAGGCTCCCTCACCCCAGTGGCCTCACACTCTTGGCTTTTGGCCTGCTTATGATCTGGGCCCTGGGGATGGCTGGACCTGGTCAGAAGCTGCCCCCCACCCAGCCAGCACCACTGCCTGTGGTTTATGGCTCCTTTCGTGCATTTACCCTGGAACCAAGAGGAACCCACACCAGGCAGGTGGGCCAGCAGGGCCCCAAAACTGAGAAGGCTGGACTTCCCCCAGAGGAAACCAAGGAGACCAGGGTCAGGACTGGGGACCCCAACCCATACTCAGTACCATCCGGAGGCTCTCAGGACACCCTGCCGGAGAGCAGAGCTGAGGAAGAGACTCAGCAGGGAGGGTTCTAGAGCCCACGTGAAGTCAAGATAATCACAGGCCCGGGTTTAAGGCTGGAGAAACAATGAATCTACTGGGCAGAGGCACTGAAATTTAAGCCCCAGCCTCCTCTTCCACTCTGTTGTGGGCTGTAGCTTCATGATGGAATTTCAGCCGCCAGCAGGGGGCGCCAAAACATCCAGCAGACAAGACTCCTGGAAACAACTGTGGATCTGACCTGATCCAGGATCCCCACCCTGAGCAGGAGCCAGTGTCCCTGGCCCCAGGCCACCTTGTGCCATGCTGTCTACAGAAAGCTGGGAGCCTTCTCTGGGTTTGTTTCTCAACTGCAGTAGGGCACGATGCCCCAAGATGGTCCCTTAGGGGGACTCTTAATACTAAGATTCGCTGGGCTGCCAGGGTTTTAGAATGCCTGCAATTCTGAGAGCCCTCCGTTCCGAGGCCTGTGGTTCTTCAAGTTGTGTACAAGGCTAGCCTAAACCTCTCTCCCATGGGCTCCATAACTCCTGCTCCCATCTGTACCACCTTATAGTGGGCAGGTACTCTAGGCTCCTCAGCATGGTCTGGGAGTCAGAGTCACAGGAGGAGGAGCTGGCTGTCCCTCCAGCCAGCGGCCAGGGACACTGGGGCTTCCTCACACCCTGAGTGGCAGGGGTGGCCAGTGTCCAGCCATGGCCGTGGGAGACCTGACCGGTACGTGGGGCTGCAACCAGGTATACTGGCAACTTCCTCGTAGAACAAGGTGTGTGACCTCCGGGTGACAAACCAATTAACAGGAGAGAGTGTGCTGAGAGAGCTAGATGGGGGTGTGGCCCTGAGATGGGCCTCAGCCCTTGCCAGGATGTCTGTTGGAGGGATCACCAATGCTCCTTGACCAACAAAGAGGGGCCCCTCTCCAGAGCAATCCATCCTGGATACAGGGCATGCTGGGCACTTCTCCAGCCCCCTGGACGGGCCAGGCTGAGCTATGTGAAACCCAGGGACAGTCCCTGCCTCCTCTGGCACATCAAGGAGGGGCTCAGCATGACGACAGTGACCCAGAGCTCCTTGGGTGCCACCCTCCCCAGCCCCCTACCCAACCTGAGCCGGGCTCAGGGAAACGGAAACTCTCCCCCTGCCCCTCCCCACACAGGTGTCCTGTTCTTTTCCTGGAATCTCCTGGGCCCTGGAGACCTGACCTTTGCCTGCTCCCATACCCCCAGCTCAGCTTCTATGACTCAGTATGTGTAGAACTCCGCCCCCCGCCATCTGTCCCCAACAGACTCAGTCCCTACAACCCCGAGCCTCAGCCTGTGGTTATCCCCAGCACCCCTGGGTTCTGCCTCCACCCTAGAACTCTCCCGGCTGTCTGAGTCTCTTCCCAGGCCTGCTCTGCTGGGAGGGTCTCACTGGAGAACCCTGGCTGGCACTGAGGGGGACACTGTCTGTGGTGCAGCTGTTGCCTGTGGCCCTGGCACATCATGTCCCACAGTTCTGGCACACAACGTGGTTCTTGTCCTGTGGCGTGTGTCACTGCCCTTTTGGATTCGACATTGGGAATTGACGGGTGGGCTCAGCAGGTGGTAGGACCCGGCAGAAAGAGGCGGAGTGAGGAATGGAGACAGACAAGCCTCTTGGGGGGATGGAAATTTGAGCCGGGCCCTGAGAGATGTGTAGGAACTTCCTCTATAACGTCACCTCTCCCGGGGGGGTGGGGTTTCCCCACCCACTAGCGGTTTCTACAGGTGCACCGATTTCCAAAAGGAAGTAGACAAGGACCAAGAAGAGCCAGCGGTGGCCCCGGTCACACTGGCAGTGGTGAGTGAGCTCTGGTCAGCGTCCAAGTCACCAGCCTCTTCTGGGTTGGCGCCGGGTCCCGTGCAGCCGCCTGCAGTTCCCGCGGGCCGCGCGAGGTGGCGACGTAGAGCGCAGAGGGGAGCCGCCGGGGCGGGCTCTGACGTCGGGGGCGGGGCCGGCGGCCGTGACGCGCGGGGGGCGGGGCCGCGCGCCTTCCCGGCCCGGCCCGGCGATTCATTCAAAAGGCGCGCAGGCTGCGCGGCCGGCCGTGCGCTCGCGCAGCCGGGCCGGGGGACGGCGTCTGGACCGGGAGCCGAGCTGGCCAGGTGAGGAGGGCGCGCGGAGCCCCGGCGTGGCGGCGTGCGGCCCCGAGCGGCTCCCCCTGCCTCCCCGCGTTCTCTGAGGAAGTTGGCCGGCGCGGCGGATGCGGCGGCCCCGGCCCCCCGGGCGTCCCCGCCGCGCGTCCTGTCCCGGCGCCTTCCGCGCCCCGGCACCTGTGCGTCCTCCCGCCGCCAGCCCCGGCTCTGCCAGAAGGTGCGCCCGAGGGGAAGCGGCGGAACTTGTCTTGTGCAAGGGGGCCGGCTCGGCGGGGCCCGGGAAACTTGGACCGAGCCCAGCCCGGGGGTGCGGGCCGGGCCGGCGGCGCCTCGCTGCGGCGGCCGGCGGGGGGCTGGACCGTGTCCGTCCGTGACCGGGGGTGACACGGCGCGTGAGGCGGGCCTGGCGCGGGCGAACGTGCGGCCGGGACCCGGGCCGGGGACGCGCGAGGGGCTCGGTGCGTCTGACACCGGCAGCGAGTGCCGGAGGCCGGGTCACCCCAGGCGGCCCGGTCACCCCGGGTGTGCGGTCCGGGGCGTGACGGGAGCCGTGCCTCCAGGCGAGGAGGGAGGGGGCAGACAAGGAAGTTGGGGCCGGGGGACCGCCGGGACTGACCCCTTCGGAAGTGCAGTTGAGCCAAGGGGATGGACCCTGATTGCTGCGCTGGCCGAGGGACGGTGGGGGGGGGGGCAAGGCGGCTGGGCAGCGGCTGGTGTGTTGGACCTGGGGTTCCCCTGTCGCCCGTGAGGGTTCAGGCGCTGCCCCCCAGCACATCCACAGTTACTGACCTGCCCTGATGCACGGTATCACAGGCAATGAATACACACACACACACAGTCCCACAGGACTCTGAGGTACCACAACACACCGCACAGGCTCATATACACTCATACATGTACACACACGCACGGGCACACATGTTGTCACACACGTGTATTCTTACACATGCATACACATGCACACAGCACATTAATGTCAGTACACACACACATGCTCTCACGTGCAGACTCACCCGGGTGACTGGCCTTTTCCACGGGCTGAGGTGCGGTCCTGCTCTCAGCACTTCCCCTCCCCGCTCCACCTTGTGCCTCAGTCTCCCCATCTGTTCACTGAAGTGTGGGGCTGTGAATGGACTGAATGATCACTCTAGGATCCTCTTTTTTTTTTTTTTTTTTTTTAAGATTTATTTTGTTCTTTTAATAGGAAAGTCAGGTATACAGAGAGGAGAGGCAGAGAGGAAGATCTTCCATCCATTGATTCACTCCCCAACTGACTGCAATGGTCAGAGCTGAGCACATCTGAACCCAGGAGCCAGGAGCTTCTCTCAGGTCTCCCAAGCAGGGGCAGGATCCCAAGGCTTTGGGCCATCATTGACTGCTTTCCCAGGCCACAAGCAGGGAGCTGGATGGGGAATGGGGCTGCTGGGATTAGAACCGGCGCCCATATAGGATCCCGGTGTATGCAAGGCGAGGACTTCAGCTGCTAGGCTACCATGCCAGGCCCTCCTCTATTGTTTTTTAGTCAATTGCTTCTCTTCAGGCCGACAGATTGCCGGGGGGATGGGTTGGGTGGGGTAGGTGTCCAGTGGGGACACAGTAGCTCAGGGGCTGCACCTGGCTGCTGGTGGTGGGATTTCAAAGTGCAACTTTCTCAGCTGGCCAAGGAGTTGTCAGCCTCCCTCCTCCCCAAAGGCTGCCTTGGTTCTCAGTTCCAAAATGGATCTGTAGCCAGTGTAGACTCACAAGTCCCCATCCACAGTGGACTTCTCCGCTGGGGCCTTCTTCCTTCCGTTCCCTGTCGGGAAGCACCAACTTGTGCCCCAGGGCTGCTCTCTGCTGGGTGGCTGTTGCTGCTGGAAGGACCCACGCGCCAATCTAGAGGTTCATGCAGGGTCAGATGAGATGGGGCTTCCTAGTCCAGGAAGTGGTGGTGCAGTGGGACAGTGGTTGCTGTAGCCTCTGGAAGTTCTGTCTTCCGCCATCCTCTATGTTGACTGTGTCCTGGGAGCAGAATGGGGGCACACTGGGCAAGGGGTGCTAGGCACTGCTCTGAACACTTCCTAGTGCACATTGTGACACTGCAGGTGTCTGGACTTGCTTCTGAGGTGCAGTGACTTTCTCAGAGAGAGAACCTGACGCTGCAGGGGCCACGTGACTTGCCCAAGGCACACAGTGCCAGGACTAGACCTCAGGTCTTCTGACCCTGGAGCTCCATGGGGTGCTTGGAGAGGACTTCCACATTCCTGCCAGCTGCAAGCGCTGCACCTGGGCTCATGGGCCTTGCCAGGCCGGCCCAGGGCAAGTTGTGAGCTTGGTGTGTGTGTGTGTGTATGTACACATACCTGTAACATTTAGGCAGGGAGCGGGATGGGAAGTGGAGCAGCCAGGATTAGAACCTGTGCCCATATGGGATCCTGGCGCGTTCAAGGCGAGGACTTTAGCCACTAGGCCACACCGCCGGGCCCAAGGCGAGGACTTTAGCCACTAGACTACTGTGCCGGGCTTCGGAATACCCTACCTTCTCTGGGCCTCTGGCTCCCCATTTTCCCCAGATTCTCCTCCCGGTGCAGCTGGGAATCAGGGTATCCCCTGCTTCTCTCTGGAATAACTGGAGCTGTGCTTCTTGGGGCTGATGAAAATAGCTGTCCTGGTCCCCAGGGGCTGAGCTCAAGTTATTTTCATCCCCAGCCAAGAGGTGGAAATAGCGCAGGGTCTGGGAGGGGCAGGAGGGAGGGGAAGGGTTAACCAAGGGTCCCAGCCCTGGTGAAGGATCCCCCCCAGTCCTACCCTGTGCCCTACCCCAGGCAGAGCTTTCTGGGAGCCTGGGCCTCTCGGGATGGCAGCAGGGCCAGGGTGCTGCCTCTGTTTCCTCTTGGGGCCTCCACTGGGACTGGTGGGCTGTGGTCACTGGAGGAAGGCACCTGCGTCTGGCCAAGTAGGGGAGACATTGAGGGGCAGTTAGCATCCTGCATTCAGGAGTCAGAAATATCGGGCCCATCCATTCCCATCTGACAGAGGAAGAAAGTGAGGTGCTGGGAATTAGAGGGGCATGCCAGAGGTCTTCCCACAGAATCACGAAGTTCTGGGTCTCAACTGTGTCTTGCGATGTGTTTGTTCCTTGGCTAGGGGGAGTAGGCTTCCCTGGGAACAGGGTGACACTCATCCCTGGACAGCCCTGGCCTTGCTGCCCTTGCCCAGAATCTAGTCGCATCGTCCGCCTCTATTTCCAGTTCATACACAGACCTTCCTTAAGTAACTTGACTTTCTGTGAAGTTCAGACTCTTCATCTGGGCCTTGTGATTTTTCCTTCCAAGGCTTTTCTAACTTTTCATCTTCACCCACATCTTGCCCTGCAAAAATGCCCTGCTTCTTCCCTTCCTTTGCCTCTGCTGTGCTGTACTTCTAGAACTGTCCTGGCCATTCAGAGCCCAGCCTCAGTGCTGCCTTACTCAGGAAGTGTGCCTCTTGATTGGGAGATAGGCATAAGTATGGAGCACCTGTGGGCACTGCATGCCCAGCTGGCACAGGCTGAGGAAGGAGGGCCTAGATGGTGGGAGGCGCTAGTACGACCCGTGAGCATTATAGGATGCAAATCCAGGGCTTTCAGCCTGGAAGTCCAGAGTGCTGTCCTGAACCAGCCTGGGAAAGATGAGAGCTCTATAAATAAACTGCCCATGTGGCTGTGAGCGTGTGCCCTGGCACAGCCGGAGGGGGCCTTCCCAGCCAGTGAGAAGCAGGGTCTGAGTGTGCCATAGGAGAGGGAAGGAAGGAAGACTTGGGTCTGCACCTCCTCACACTGAGAGGGAGCAGAGACTCTGGTGTTTGCCTGGCTGCTCCCACACTTGCTTCTCTACCTGCCCCTCTGAGGGATCCCACACCCCCGCCTCTTCCTAAGGGCCAGGGGAAACTGAAAACAGATGGCCGATAGGACTTAGAGAAGGAGTTCCCTCTTTCAGGGACACTGGGGAGGCCTGACTGTAAGAAGTGCTCCTGTGTACAAACTCTGGGTCTCCTTGGTAGCACAAGGTCAGCTGTACAGGCACAGTGGCCCCAAGTCAGAGGGGAACTGGAGCCTTGTGGAAAGCCAGGGCTGTGTCCTGACTGCTGAGCTGGCCCCGAGCAGTGTCCCTTCCCCGTCCTGTCTAGCTGATGGCCCTGGCTGGTATGGGGGCAGGTGGACACAGGTTTGTATGTAGGGCTGGGGACTAAACATTGCGTAAGGCCAGCACTTCCCGACCCATAGTTCTGGGAGTTATGTTGGATTTCCTAAAGAGCCCTGGCAGAACCCAGCTTCTGGACACTGTTTGAGTCTAAGCTATGTCCCTTTTCTGGCCCTGGTGCTATGGTAAGAACCACACGTAGGAGAGGCCTTTAAGCCAGGCCCTTCCAGTACAACTCCCAGCGGCTCCTCCTCACCCCTTGGTATCCCAGGAAGCAGGGACCAGACCCCTTGTTTGCAGAGGAGGAGCCCACAGCTCAGGGAGCCTAAGTGACCTCCCCAAGAACTCAGATCCCCTAAGGGACAGACCCCGAGCCTGACCGCAGCTGAGCTCCAGCGCCCATCCGCAGCCTGGCTGTTGCACATGTTCTGATTGGGGAGAGCCTGACCAGGGCTTGCCCAGGGAGGGGGTTCTCTTCAGCTTCTCGAGGCTGAGAGAAGTTGGAAGATGGTGGGGAGCTAAAGATGTAGCCTCTCTGGCTTTTCTCCTGAAGCTTCTGCCCAAATCAGCCGTGTCAGGGTATGCTGAGCAGCCTGCGTCACTCTGGTGGGGCTGGAGGCCAGGGCAGCTTTTCAGAGGGGAAGATGGAGGCTGAGCAGGGTTACTGTGGGGTCTCCTTCAGCCCCTGCCCCTCCCGTGCCCCCTTGCTGTCCTGTCCAGGAGTCAGGGGAGGCAGCCCAGGACTGACTCCGGGGTGCAGGGAGATTAGTGGTGAGCTAGGAGCTGGCCTGGCAGGAGCAATAATGTGACAGGCCCTGTGGCCCTGGCAGGGGCTGCCTGCTGCCTGCCCCTGCTGTAGTGGGTAAACCTGGTTTTCTTTAAGACCAGGCTATTACAGGTTACCACTGAAGCCCTCAGCCGAAACATAGAACCCTGCCTTTTAGGGGCTTAGTGAGATCCAGCCTGGACAGGGAATGGGGCACACGTAGGGGAGCCCCAGCTCTGTCCCAGAGATGACTTCCTGGTGGCAAGTCCACATGCTATAGGCCCAGGCTCCGCCGGGGAAGGGGGTGGGGGGGGACTGCGTCTCTACCGTCCCCAGACTGGGAGGAGCTGGGTGGACCAGGGCTGGCGCCTTGGCCCTTTCCTCAGTCTCAAGGGGCCAATTAGCCCCCATCTGCCCTCTTTACTATGAGAGCCACTGAAATGCAGGCCTGGTAGTGGCTGGAAGGTCTAAGGGGCAGACTCATACCTGCCCAGCTTGGGGTGGGGTGTGTGGACCAGGGTGCAGGATGAGGGACCTACTGTTTGGAAATGATGACCCAAGGCTGGGAAAGGGGCTGGGAGTGCAGAGTCTGTCTCACTGCCTAATGCTGAGCCAGCGCCTGTCCACCTCTGGGCCCCCAGCCACAGTCCTAGGGATTTGGGGCTACTTCCTCATCCCTCTGGGGCTTCCTGGACTTTCCAAGTCTCCTTGCCTCTTCCAGTCTACCTCAGTGCCCTTTCCAACCAGAGCTGGTGTGGAATGGGACAGAGACAAGGTGCAGGAAAAACCCAGAGACTGTTGGCTGGGAACAACTCCTCCTGGGCCTTTTGTTGTACCCCCTACTTGGGTGCCACTGGCTCCCTGGCTGGAGCCCTCAGAGGGTGTCTCCCACATGGAGAAACACCAGTCTCCAGACCTTAGGAAAGGCAGAGCTGAGGCTTCCCTGCGCCTCCTTCCTGCTGTACTAAGTAGGAACTTACTGGCTGTGACCCCCTGCAAATGACCTCCAGTGGCCTTGGTTTATCCATATGTGAAACGGTGAGGAATGGCAGCAACCCTGGATGAGAGCCTGACCAGCCCTGGGGTGGGGTCAGTTGTCTTCCTTATCAGGGCAAGAAGGGGAAGTGGGCAGTGCCAACCGCCCTCGCTGCCACCGCCCAGTGTGGGCACTGCCCTACTTCAGCCCCAGTTGCCAGGGAACCACCAGGCTCCTCGCTAACCTGGATTTCTCTATTCAGGAGCAGCCTTTGTCTTCCTTCCCTGGTGCGGCCACCACGGAGGGAGGCCCATGTCCAGCTGTGTTTCCAGGCAACCCTTGCCGCTGGAGGCTAGAAGGGAGGGCTGTAGGCTTAGGAGCCGCTGGCTGGGAAGCGGGACCTGCCCAGTGCCCATCATCCTCCGGGGGGGCCCCTGTTCCCACCTTTGGCTCCCCTGGGATGGCCCCACTTGGCAGGCAGCACACTGTTCCATACCTGTTCCTTCTGCTGCTGGGGAGCAGCTTCTCAGCTTGCATCTGAAGCTTGCTGTGGCAGAGGCACTGCCTCACTCATGCGGCAGGCTAGGCCCCTCTGTGTGCCAGGCTCTGTGCCAATGGCTGAACAGAAGCATAAAAGAGAATCTCATGCGTAACGCGTACCTGCCTGTTAAGTATGTACTGCTTCCTACACCCTACAGTCTGCACCTGGGGAAACTGAGGCAGGGTAGAGTGTGGTGAATGCTTATAAAGGCTCACCCTGAAGCTATACCAGAGCCACAAAACCAGCAGAATGCATTAGCCAGGCAGGTATGTGCTCCCTGGTCATGTCCCGGGGCCCTGGGCTAACCTGAGAAGGATGCATGAGCTGCTTAGGTTAGCTGAGGTTAGACCCACCCTTGCCACACTGGACCCCTTCATCTCTCTCACCTTGGCCAAGTTGGGAGCTGGGCCTGCTGCTGAAAAGCGTCCCCCTGTCCCCTCTGTCAGCCATGCACTTACCTCCCCAGCTTGGCATTGGGTATGGATCTTCTCTGGCTGGTGGCCGGGAGGGGGTGCTTCTGGGTAGGTTGTTGGTCAGGTAATGGGAGGGGTCCCTGGGCAGAGGAAGCAGCAGGTACCTGCACACTGCCTGAGGGATGGAGAGAAGCCCAGTGTGGCTGGGGGATGTGCAGTGTGTGTGTGTGAGTGTCAGTGTCAGACAGAGGAGGAAGGAATGGGTACCCTTGGCCTTCCTGGCACGTGTCTGGGGAGGAGTTGGGGGAGGGGTGTGTGTGGCAGGGCCTAGGTACCCCTGAGGGCTTCAGAAGTTCTGGCCCAGGGGTGGGGAAGCTGCCTGTGCCTCGGCGTAACTTCCTCTTTCTCTGAGGAGGCCTCTGGGCCACACCTCCCTGGGGCAAGCAACTCTGCAGGCCTTGGGACCTGGCCTTGCTCCTCGCTCCTGGGCTCCTGGGCTCCTGGGCTCCTGGGCCCCTCTTCGCCAGTGGGTCTTTCTGCCCGAGGAGTTTCTGCCTGTGAGTGCCAGGGGAAGGCCCTTCTTTTGGAAGGCCCTGGTCCGGAAGTGGGAAGTCTGATGGCAGAGGCCTCCTGCTGCAGCCACAGTGGGGAGTGGGGCTTTGCGGTGAACGAGACAGACGGCTTTGCCCTCACTGCTGTCTCATTGGTGAGGGCACTGAGCAAGTAAGCAGACACACACTTAATGACAGACCTGGGCCCCTGGCGGTCGGGGCTGCAGGAAGGAGGAGGGGGCTGCTGGGGAGGAAATCCTGTGACCTGCTTCAGGCCATTACCTCATCTAAACCTCAGGACAGCCTGGCCCTGGGAGGTAAACAGCCCCATTGTGCAGGTGAGCGAGTTGAGCCCTGGCCAGGTGACCAGGTCTGGAGTGGAGGCCCATAGGGAGCTACTGGCAGTCCAGCCAGGGCCTTGGGGAGGGAGTGCCCTGTAAGCTCACTTCTTTCTCTGCCGAAAGCCCCTGCTGCTCCTCCTCCCCTACCCACACTGGCTGGGGGTGACAGCCTGCTGGGAGCGTGAGAACTCTGATAGCACCTACTGATTTCTGATGTCTGCCCTCCAGCCCTCGGCGATGGCCAGGATTCCCTGGCACCCCCACCCCCAGCGAGGAAGGGGTCTGAGCAGCAGGTGTGCACACGTGTGCCACGGGGCTCCGTGCCTGACAGGGCAGGTCCAGCGGGGGTTCAGACTGGGCTGAGCGTGGGGGCCGGCGGCCCGAGCGCACTAAGTGCCGGTTTGGGGTAATTAGAAGGTGCATAATTAGAGAGCGCCTGGGCGTGGGGTGGCGGGTGTCTGAATGGCCTGAGCGTGCCCTCCTGCTGGCTTTGGGGCTGCGTCTGCAGAGTCTCCCCATGCAGATGCCTCATGCCACGTCTGTCTGCACATGGGCAAGCCCCTGCTGTGCTGACCCGCTCACCCACCCAGCAGGAGGAGTTACCTGGGCCCTTGCCTCTTGGGTGGTTTTTGGCTCTGTTCTCTCTCAGCCTGAGGATGAGGGCTCGTGATTAGGTCTGGGGGGTTCAGATGCCCTAACACGGAAAGGGGATCATGAGGAGGTGGTCTGGAGGAGTTGTGAGCAGGTCTGCCGAGGGCTGGGTGGTGGCATGCGGCAGGGTCACCTGCTGTTGGGCATGGACTGTCCAGTGCCACCCTCACCCTGCGCAGGCCCTGCCTTCCCCGCCCTGGTTTTCCCCTGGGCTGGCTCGGGTGCACCGGTGACCTGGAGAGTCCCCAGGATGGTGTGACCACTGCCCTTCCCCCTCCCCTGGGTGTAACTCAACCCCTGACCGGGCTGCGAGGGCAGCAGGTCAGGCCAGCGGGCGGATCCGTTTCCCCAGCTTCCTTTCCAATGGGAAGCCCAGGGGAGAGGGACTCTTGGGTGACCAGGAGCGGGCAGTGCCTCCTCAGCCTGGGGCTCCCTAGCTGCTCCCCTAGGGCAGAGACTTGGGACCAAGGAAGCCACCCTTGGGTGTCTGAGGCCAAGCCTGGCTGCTGAGGCCTTGTCACTCGCACGCCCAAGTGCTGCTCTTGTGTCCCCCTGGCTGCCAAGCCAGGCCTCTGGGAAGTACACCATGGGACTTGCGCAGTTGGCCACACTCTCATGTTTAATCCGAGTCCTCTTCGTGCTGCTCCAGCCTCGTCCCCTGGCTGCAGGCTTCTCCAGAGGCCACAGGCTGGGCTGGTGGATGGCAGGGCCGCCACTACTGTTCTCTAAAACCTCATAAGATGCAAGGGACGGGGCCCTGTTTCTGGATCCTTCTTGTGCCGAGGGCAGAGCCCTGCACTCACGCAGTAGATGCTGAGAGATGCAGAAGGCCAACTGCCTGCTGCCGTGACATCCCTGTCCTTCCAGGTCTGTGGTGTCAATGGGACCAGACACCACCCCCCCACCCGTCCTCCCTGCAGTGGAAGCACTGGGACTGTGATGTGGGGCTGGGGAGTGAAAGGACTCTGCCAGACTCAGCTTGGGTGATGCCTCCTGGAATATTCTGGAAAGAGGCCCTTGTGTTGGGCTCTGAAGGGTGAGGGCCTGGGGCCCGTGGGCTGCTGGAGCAGGAAGCTGACCCTTCTAGGAGGTGGAGGAACTGGGGCTGGGGCCATCACACACACCTGCGTCCTTCCTCCCGGTGCTGCAGGGCGTCTGGCTGTTTATGGAATGGGGAGGAAGCCCTTCCTCCTGCAGGAAACCACCCCGGCTGTACGATGTGAACTCCTCATCAGGTTATCCTTTGGGGGAAGCAGCTTCCTGCCTGGCTCTGCCACCCTAGAGCTCAGCCGTCTCTCCCTCTGCCCTAGGCCAGTGACCACCAGCCTGGGGCCTGATCATGAAGCTGATCCTGCTGTGCTGGCCCCTGCCCTGCCTCCTGCTGGTGAGTTGTGGATGGGCTGGGGGAAGCCGCGGGAACCAAATCCTTGAGGATTCCCCAGGGGGGGACGGGCACGTGCAGCTGGTTACTCAGTCAGGCCCTAGGAAGCACCCCTTTGGCTTGCCCTTGCGTGAGAGGTGACCCACAGCGGGAAGAGGGAAGGGGCACGTGGCTGCCCCTCCCCTTGGCATCCAAGACAGAGAGGGGCAGTTTTCCCAAGAAGTGCTCAATTGGGCCTAGGGGAGAGAAGGCAGGACTTCGGGGTGTTTATCAGCAAGGTAGGCATGACTGAGGGCAAGATGTGTGTGGCAGACGGGCTGGGCAGGAGCCTGCAGGAAGTTGGGGGACAAGGACAATAGGTGGTAGGAGCTTCCAAAGGACTGAGGGCAGACTGGTCCTACCTGAGACAGTGGGAGGCAGAGGGCATGCTTCCCTCATGGACTGGGCGTGTTTGGGTGCAGGGTGTGCTGGGGTGGCCTTGCCAGGGGGAGCTCACGGAGGAAGGTGTGGTTCCCAAGACTAGAAAAGGAGGTAGCGGCTCTTCACAGATCGTCAGAGCAGGGGTGGCTAATGACATGCCCAGCTGTGGCGGGGGGGAAGGGAGAGCTGCAGGAAGGGGGTTGAATCCCAGGCAGAAGAGAGGAATTCCGAAGCATTTCCTCCTCATCCTCCTGGTTAGCTGGAAAGAGTGTGAGTGATTCCAACCCAAGGGTTCCCATCCAGGGGCTTTCCAGCACTTTCCAGAAGCAGTTAGGGTTCTCTGCCTGGCCATGTCTTAGCCTTGCAACTAAGCTGGGCAGGGCAGGTTCTGAGGGGTTGAGTTGGGAACAATGTCCCTGTATGCCAGTGGGGTGGGTCTGTGTGGCCTCGGGAAGTTGGTTGTGGATGGGCAACCCGAGAGACCCTGTGCCCAGCATGGCCTGCTCGTTTAGCTCACCCTACTGGCTGTTCTTCCAGCTGTTTTCCTGGTCCCTGGCCACCCCAGCATCCACGGCCCCTTGGCAGTGCCCACCGGGGGAGGAGCCCAACCTGGTGAGTAAGTGGCACTACCATCTGCCCTTCCTTGGGGGGGGTCCCAAGGGCAGGGTCCTGGCTGGGCTTGCCTAGCAGCCTCAGGCCTGCTCCTGCCCTTATTCTCCCTTCCCCCTCCCGCAGGACTCGGAGCTGGGCACACTCTGCAGGTCCTGCCCCCTGGGTACCTTTTCTGCCTCTTGGGGCTCCAGCCCATGCCAGTCCCATAACCGCTGCAGCCTTCGAAGGAGGCTGGAGGTCCAGGCGGGCACGGCCACTCAGGATGCACTCTGTGGAGGCTGTCAGCCAGGGTGAGCACGGGGCTGGGCACGGAGGCTCATGCTTGCGGAACCAGGACTCCAAGGCCAAGGACCTCAGCCTCAGTGTTCCCATCTGTGAAGTGGGGTTAATGAGGACCAGAGAAAGTCCTAATCTATCTTGGTGGGAAGGGATTTGGCCTCTCTTAGGGATGGGGTTTTGATGACGCCCTGGTCTCAGTGATGTTTTTGTCTCCCTACAGGTGGTTTGGGCCCTGGGGGGTCCCCCGCGTTCCATGCCAGCCGTGTTCCTGGGCACCTCTGGGCACTCGAGGCTGCCATGGTGAGTGGCAGATTGGGCCCTAGGGGAGAGGCATCCAGTGACTCTGAGCCCTGGACACACACCCACCACCTCCCTGTAGGGCAATGGGGTCCCCTGTCTGGGCTGGGAGCCCAGAGGAGGGCATGTCCCCCGAGGGTGCCTGTTCATGCCTGACACTTGCTCATCTATTCCAAGTAGCCGAGGCTGTCCAGCAGAGGGCAGCACAGTGTGGGGGCCTGCACACATTTCACGCACCTGCCCAGCCAGTCACCACCCATGGCAACTTATGCAACAGCCGAGCCCTGGGAAAGCAGGGTCCTGTGTCCCTGGGGGCTGACAGTCCAGCTGCCTCTGAGGCCCAAGGAAGTCTCGCTCACGGGCACCGGCCAGTCAGAGGGCAGACAAGCAGGGACAGGCATGGGCCTTGGCTCCCTAAGCAGGGTTGAGGGCAGATCTCCCCCACCTCTCCCTGGGTACCCACACACAGGCTGTGTATCTCTGCCTTGCCCCTGTCCCCTGTGCTGCTCAGAGAGGGGGCGGCGGGCCCGGCGCGGCGTGGAGGCGGCTGCCGGGGCCAGTGGAGCAGGCGAGACGCGGCAGCCTGGAAACAGCACGCGGGCGGGCGGCCCCGAGGAGACAGCCGCGCAGTACGCCGTGATCGCCATTGTGCCCATCTTCTGCCTCATGGGGCTGCTGGGCATCCTGGTGTGCAACCTGCTCAAGAGGAAGGGCTACCACTGCACTGCCCACAAGGAGGCCGGACCCTCTGGAGGCACAGGCAATGGTGAGGCATACTCCGGGGTGGGAGGTGGGAACAGGTGGTGGGCATGCAGCGGGGAACCCAAGCCCAGAGAGTGTGGGGGCAGGGACAGAGGGGGCCACCAGGAGGAAAGCCCCAGCCTGGCGGGGGGCTCATCAGAAGGGCTTCTTGGCAGTACAGCTGCCTCTGGGGACCTGGGGAGACCCCTGCAGACTGACAGGGCACAGAGTGGCCAAGCGGTGGCCTTGTGGGCTGAGCAGATGTGATATGACCAATCTGATGGCTTCCACGGGATTCTGACCTTGGGGAGGGGCCTGTCCCATGGTGGGCTTTTGTACTTTTGGGGGCTTGTTGGGAACAATTGTTTGTGTGTCATTTGAGGGTACAGTGACCTCTGACCTGTGGCCTAGGCATGCCAGCAGCACCAGCCCTTGGGTTTTCAGCTGGCCAGGGTTTGAGTGACAGGCTCTGGAATCGGAGGAGGGGAGCACTTCTCTCCCACCCCCTGAGCCCCTAGACTCCCACTGCTGCCTCCTACCCTAACACCGTCACCTGAGGAGCAGGTGCCCATGGAAGCCTTGTGCGGTGTCATGTGCCAGCACGCCAGGCTGCCTGGGGCTGCCCAGTGCCTGTCAGGTCGGGAGGGGGCAGGGAGGTGGTGTTTTGGCTGTCTCCTGAGGCTGCCTTAGTTTTCCTGGCCTAATGACTTCTTTTACCTGTTGTCTGCTGCTGGGGGCCCAGAGACCACTCCCCAGGAGCACCTCATTAAATAGATTCACAGGGTGCTATGCAGGGAGCTGGTGGGCCTGGGAGGGCAGACTTTGCTGGAGATGTTGGGGTTCTGGGCAGGGGGACAACCCACAGCTCCCAGGGGCTCAGAAGGGGGCGCGCAGGCCCAGAAGATGGCAGGACCCCTACTACCTACAGCATACACGCCCCCAGAGGACTCTGCTGTGGGGACTGCGGGCTTTGTCTCCTCTGACCAGCTGGAACCCTGCAGCTGCAGGCCCTTATCCAGAGCCGACCGCCCTGCTCCATGGCAGCTCTTAGGAAGGCCTGTGGCGCCCTCTGCCGGCAGATCCTGATGCAGCTGGGGAATTCGGAGCCCCCTCTTCTCCCTGGAATCACGGGGGTCATTTCTCTTCCTTCTCCCAGGGGCCAACCCTGCCTACCGGACCGAGGATGCCAACGAGGACACCATTGGGGTCCTGGTGCGCCTCATTACAGAGAAGAAAGGTAAAGGGAGGGCGTGACCTCATCCTGGGGCCCAGGAGAGGAAAGTCTCCCATCCATTCCCTGCCAAGGAGCCTGGGAGGCCGCCTGCGAGGGAGGCCGCCTGCGTGGGAGGCTGCCTGTGTGGGCGGCAGGCCGGCCCCACCTTGCACCTCCTCTCTTGGCGCTGGCCTGGTGCCCGGCTGATTTTGGCATCCTGTTCTTGCCTGCCGAGGGGTGGAGAAGGCACACAGCTCAGGCGGGAGCAGGGAGGTGGTGGTCTGTGTGGGCTGCCCTTTCTGCCCAGAGCCGGGCTCTGACTGCAGCTGCCTACCTGCAGAGAATGCAGCGGCCCTGGAGGAACTGCTCAAGGAGCACCACAGCAGGCAGCTGGTGCAGACGGGCAGGCCCGGACCCAGGTGAGCTTCCTGGGAGCATCGGCGAGCCCCCTGGGAGCGTCAGCCACCCGCCACTGCTGTCCTCCGTGGGCCCTGCCCCATGACCATTGTCACCTCTGTCCTCCCACAGGCTGCCCCCGGCTGCACCCAGCACGCCGCACATGTGCCCACACCGCCACCACCTGCACACGGTGCAGGGCCTGGCCTCGCTCTATGGCCCATGCTGCTCCCGATGCAGCCAGAAGAAGTGGCCTGAGGTGCTGCTGTCCCCAGAGGCCGCAGCTGCCTCCACACCTGCCCCCAGCCTCCTGCCCAATCCTGTGAGGACGCCCAAGGCCGGGGCCAAGGCGGGACGCCAGGGCGAGATCACCATCTTGTCTGTGGGCAGGTGAGGTGGGCTCAGTACCCCCCAGGACAGGGGGCGAGTAACTGAGCCCTGAGAACTTTAATCTCTGGTGACCTGGTCTCAGCTGTGCTGTCTGCAGGCACAGCCCAGGGCAGGAGCTGCGGTGGGTAGTGGGGCCCTGGAAGTGTCTGCTGGCTCAGGTTTGGCTGATAACTGGCTCTGGGGCCCTGGGAGGGTCCTGGGCTCTCTGTTCAGAGGCCCTTCTCTAGTGGGGTGGCTGAAGGCATTCTCCCCTCTTCCCAGGTTCCGCGTGGCTCGGATTCCAGAGCAGCGTAGCAGTGTGTTGGCATCTGAGGTGAAGACCATCGCGGAGGCCGGGCCTTCGCCGAGCGAGCCACCCGACTCCCCACAGCCTGGCCTCCCTGCTGAGCAGCGGGCGCTGCTGGGAAGTGGTGGAAGCCACACGAAATGGTTAAAGGTCCCAGCCGAGAGCAAGGCTGAGGTAAGGTGCAGGAGGCCACAGTGGGGCGGGCCAGGCGCCCTTGCAGCTCTGCTCGGCGCCTGCCTGACCCCCACTCCCACCCCCACCAGGAGAACCGCTACGTGGTCCGGCTGAGTGAGAGCAACCTGGTGATCTGAGGGCTGGCTGCTGCAAAGACACTGCGGCCCCGCCCCAGGAGGCGCTGCTGGCTTCCTGGAGGAGGAAGAGCCGTGGCTGGGAGGACAAGGAGCAGCGGCCCAGCACAGTAGGCAGCAGAGGTTGAGGGCTGCAGGTGGGCCCATTTGCCCCAGCCAGGCCGTGGGCAGGCCACAGGGCATGGTGTGCAGGAGTAGAGTGAGCCCGCCCCGTCCCTGCTGCCCCGCACCTGCCCTGCAGATCTTGGGAGCCCTCAGGGTTCTTCTGTAGCACCAGGGGCCAGGCTTGGCAGAGGAGGGCCAAAGCCTGGGGCCTCCTACCCTTGCCCAGGGCTCTGGAGCAGCTGGGTCTTCCCCCTCCTCTTCCAGCAGGGCCTGTGAGGGGAAGGGGCTATTGAAAGTCCTTGGCCGGGAGGCTGAGGGCCTGGATTCTCATCCTGGGCGTGACCGCCTGGTCCCAGTGTTTCTACCAGGAAAGCAAGGAGAGCATCTCGGGGGCCTGGACCTGCACCAGCTCCTGGAGGGCCACTGGCCAGGCCAAGCCTGGCTGGGCCAGGTGGTGAGAGAGTTCAGCCCTGCCTGTCGTCCTGTTAGTAGCTTTACTCGGCCCTGTCACTGCTGCCTTCAGGGTCTCCACTTGCAGTGCCCCCAGGGGCTGCACATCCACGGTTCTGCTTAACGCATGTGCCTGCGTTTCCCTGTCAAAAACCCCTGCTGTTTCCTGTCGGATTCAAGAACAGACCTGGACAGGCCCACCCTGCAAGGTGTCAGGCGCTGCGGGGCGAGGAGAGTCAGTGGGGCTGGCGGTGTCCGCCTCCCTGTCCCCCAGCCCCGGGCAGCGTGGCGAGTCCACGTCCTGTCTCCACGCTGGCACAGCAGCCTCTGTATTTATGTGGGGCCCCGCAGGCGTGGGCCCCCACCCCCTCCCTGTTATTTATTGAGTCTTGCTGTCAGTCTTATCCTTGCGTCTTCACTTCGTCCATCTGTTGAATAATAAAAGGTGGGAAAGTGGTGTTGCAAGGAGCTTCCTTCCCTGAATCCTCCCTAGGCTGTTCAGCTGCCCACTCCTCGGCCAGAGGGGAGACGGGGTGGCTGACAGGTGCAGTGAGAGCCAGGCTTCACCTGACTGCGGAGTGTCCTGGGAAGTGAATGTTGAGAATAGTTTTTAACACACAATACTTGGTCGCATTTCTGGGGTACAGCACATTGTGTAAATACACCAGGCCGGACAGTTGGCCTTTTCCACTTCCCCCCAGTGTGCCCTGCTGGTTCTATGGGCAGTCCCCATGTGGGGCAGCCCCAGCTGGCCCTGGGCCGGAGCACCTTCCTGCTGCTGACCTGGGTGTGGTGCATTTCTCCAGCCCCTGACCACCTCACTGACACCCAGCTTCCCAGCAACCCCATTGCCCAGGGAAGATTTACATGCATAGAACTTTAGACATACATGCTTTGGCCTAACAGAAGGTTTTTTTTTTTAATTTCTATGTCAACTCAAATCTAAAACAGATGAATTTTTTTGTTGTTGCTTTTTGCTTTGAAATCTGGTGTGTGCTTTTATACCTTCTGATGATACCAGTCTGTCTCAAGGGTTTCACAGTTACACGGGCCAGTGGCACCCATGGTGGACAGCAAGAGGCCATGGAGGAGGTGACAGTCATGAATGGGGTGAGGATGGTGGCCCCATGGTAGGGAGCCACATGCATAGGAGAGAGGGTGGCCATGGTGAGTGGGTGTGTGTGCACCCGGAAGGGACAAAGCCCCAGGAGGCTGGGCGGGGAGGGGGTGCACAGCCAACTGGGCAGGTAACAGGAGCGGGGCTTCCTGGGGCACCAACACAGCAAGGAGAGTAGCTGCTAGCACCCAGGTGGGCATCTGTATTGGGACAAGGGTGACTGGCATGACAGGGAAAGCATTGGGACAGCATGAGGGGAGGGGAGAGTGTCCCAGTAGCTGGGGTCCAGGGGGGCGGGATCAGCAGGTGCTCCTGGGCGCCAAGAAGGCTGCCACATGCCCTGGTGCAGGGACCCTCGGACGTGGTGAGAGTAGGAACAGGGAGCTGAGGGAGAATCCTTCCTTGACGTGGCTGTGTGGGCCTTAGGTTTCAGTGAGATAGCTTTAGCTGACTGGGGTGTCATTGGCATTTGGTGCACTGGCCAAGGATGGAAGCAGGGACAGGGCACACACAGGCACTGGGGTGAGGCTGCTGCAGGGTAACCCCTTGGACATGGAGAGGGCCTGGTGGCTGGGGCCCATGCTGCTGTGGCAGCAGGAGCCAGCCCTGATTGAGCCTTTCTCCTGGGCACAAGGAGCCCTGGTGGCCCAGCCAGCCCAGCCGCCATAGGGAAGCTCCCGCTGCTGCTCCCCAGACCACTGGGTGAGGTGACTGCTCGGGCTCCTGGGGCACTGCAGCAGGAGAGACTTTCTGGGGCAGCAGAGGTTGCCAACATGCAGGAGCAGCGCTGGGTGCTGGTAGCTAACCGACAACTACAGTGCCCCCAAGGCGCCTGTTGGTTGCTCCCCTCCCTTGGCTGGCTGGTAGCACCCTTGACCTTAGCCTCCTCTGAGGGGAGGCTGGACTGGAGGACTCAGTGCCCCCTTCTGCCTGCCCGTCTAGGCTGGGGAGGGGCCTGGCCAGCACATGCTCCCCAGCTTCTTGTTTCCCAGAAGCCCTGCGGCCTCCACTGTGCGTGGAAGGGTGTTGTTTCTAAAAGAGCAGGGCAGGAGGTGGCCTGATGTCCTGGCGCCCCTGGTATGTCCCCTCTAAATAAATCCTGGCAGGGTGGGCTCCGGACGCCCGTCCTCTGCCCAGGTATTAGGGCTTGGCTTGCAGGTGCTGTTGGGATCAGGTGGAGCCAATGGTGTCAAGGAGGTGGGTCTGGCGGGCTTTGGGCCACAGGCAGAAGTTCTCGCGAGAGGGTTCTTTCCTCTAAGCTGGAGTCGAGCTTGTGGACTGGCTTCCTGCTTCCCAGCCTGAGGGCTCTGGCCCTACACGCGGTCCAGGTCCACCACCCTCACCATGCCGGGAGCTGCCCAAACCGTGAGCTAATGGCCTTTTCTTCCTCAGTTGGTCCTCTGGTGTGTGTGTGAGGAGGGATGAGAAGGTGACTGAGACAGGGTGTGGGGGTGCTGCTGGTGTGGTTACCTGAAGCTGTGGTGGGTTGTCTTTGGGACCAGTTTAGGGGAGAGGCCAGAGGGGCAGGCTAGAGGGCCTGACATGCTGTGAACCAAGAGTGCATCCTGGGCAATGCTGAGCTGACCAGAACACAGAATTGTGGACAAGAAAGGGCAGGCGTCCGTCCCCCGGTGGCCGGGAACCTGGCTCTGTGGTGTGTGTGTCCTGGGCCTGTGGGAGGCTGTCTGGAAATTAGGGGATTGCTTTGTGTGGGGAGAAGACCACAAGCTCTCAGTCTAGGTGCTACCAGCTGCTGTTAATAAGCTTCACCGGGAGCAAAAAGGAGCAGAGTGGGCGGGGTAGGAGACTGCGCCTGGCCAGAGAGAGGGAGTGGGAGAAGCTTGCTCAGGAGGGAGAGTAGGTGGGCTGGAGGGTGGGAGGAAGAGCCCGGAGGTGTTTCAGGGACCTGGAAGTGTCAACAGTTCCTCGCACTCAACAGGTGTTCCCCCTGCACAGCTCTGGATCTGGGATTCCTTCCCCTGGTTCAGCCAGCTGGCTTCCCAGGGCTGAGGGTGGGTGCAGGTGTAGCTTGTGCTGGCGCCCTGCACCTGAGGCTGGCTTCACAGGTGTGCCCAGGGCTGGAGGCAGGGCGAAATCTCAAATCTTGGGATGTCAGAGGTGCGCCCCGGGGCTGGACCCCCTCACCCCACAACTGGGTCGATGACAGGGCAGACTAAGAAGGCCAGGCTCCCCGCTGTGGGAGACACCTGCCAAGGGAAGCTGTCAAGCAGAAGGCCCAACAGGCCTTGAGTGGGGTGTAGGGCCCCCGGAACCAGGACCACGAGGGCTTCCACGTGGACTGCAGGAGTGGCCCAGAGACAGCAGAGGCAGGGCTGAGCAGAAATGTGGGGTTGGTGCTGAGGCGTTCGCCCCCGCCTCCCCAGCAGCAGCTCCTTAATGGAGCAGCAGAGGTGACGCCAACCTTGGAACTGGAATGGGCTGCAGCCAGCAGAGGAGTGGGCGCGTTCGCCAGTGTCCCTGCGTGCACTGTTTGCTGGTTTCCAGCCTTGCTTTGGTTTGACTGATCCCGTCTGTTTCCTGGTCTCCTGGTCTCCCACTCTTATGCCTGGACCGCCCCCACCCCACCTGGCTGTGTCTTGGGAAGCGTCCCTTGGGTAACGACCAGCTCACGGCTGGTGGAGTTTGCCTGGAGTCTTGAGAGACTGTGGACTTAGGAATTTGTATTGGACCGAGTTATAGCTTGGGAACTTCGGGTCATGGGATAACCGCATGTTTGCACTGGGGCCACGCAGAATGGTGTGGTTGGGCAATAGTTTGAGTCCCCCAAAGGTCTATGTGTTACAGGCTGGGCCCCTGGGTGGTGCTGCTGGGAGAGGGCGGAGATTGGAGCCAGTAAGTCATGGGGTTTAGGAGTGGGGCCTCGGACCCGGCGGCTTAAGTCCTCACCTTGAACGCGCCAGTATCCCATATGGGTGCTGGTTCTAACCCCGGCAGCTCCACTTCCCATCTAGCTCTTTGCTTGTGGCCTGGGAAAGCAGTCGAGGATGTCCCAAGGCCTTGGGTTCCTGCACCCATGTGGGAGAGCTGGAGGAAGTTCCGACCTCCTGGCTTCAGACCGGCGCAGCACTGGCCGTTACAATCACTTGGGGAGTGAATCATCGGATGGAAGGTCTTCCTCTGTCTTTCCTCCTCTCTGTTTATTTAACTTTCCAATAAAAATAAATAACATCTTAAAAAAAAAAAAGTGGGCCCTGCGGGGAGCACTGAGGCTGGTTAGGGCTGTCCCAGGGAGGCGGATGGCACAGAGTTGGTTATGTGGGCCACAGTTGCGGCCATACACCATCCCTGCTTCTGGCTAGTGGGTCAGGGCTGTGAACCGCCAAGGTCGTGAGTAAGTAGTGTCAGACACCTGTGGCAAGAAGCCAGTAGTTAGCACTCTGCTTGTGCCCTTCCCCTGCAGGCAGAATGCTGGGACACGCGGGTCCAGGTGTCCGCCAGCTGCTGCCCTGGGGGAGGGGGATTCCATCCACTCTAAGTGACTCAGCCCCAGTGATCTCAGGAGGTGGGAGGTAGGCGCAGGCAGGCTGTTTTGGTGGGAAGCAGGTTGCTTAGTGTCTTGTGCTGAAGTTGAATTCCATGGGGCTAGCTACCTGGCAGGTAGATGACTCATGGGGAGCAGTGTTTCCCAGAGGGAAGATTTAAGAGGTGAAGGCTGGGTGGGTAGAGGACACGGGCCCTGACATGGGCACCTCTGGAGCCAGCACAGGTTCTGCCTACTTTGGAGTGGGCAGGGCTTGTGGCTCCCCGTACCTCGGCCCTGGAGCCCGGCCAGTGGGATTCCCGGTTCTGTTCTGTGCCAGCCCTACCGCCAGTAGCTGTCCCCTCTACTGACACACTGCTGAGGACCATGAGTGCTAACGGGCACATGTGAGCGGCAGGGCAGGCCCCCAGCAAGCCTGTGTGCAGCCCCGGGGTGGGCAGGGGTGTCCCTTGCTTGGGCTCACCATGGAGAGAGGCCCGGGTGGTGGTCTGTCTCCCTCCCCCAAGAACCACTCAGGCTGGTCACCTAAGACTTTTGCATGTTTTTTTGGAAACTTTTTTTTAATAGTTATTGAGTGTTCTACAGCTTACAGTAAATGTCATAGTTACAAATTCTTGGCTTCAGTCTTTCAGAGCGATCATTATCTGATTTTCCCAAGCGAAAAGAAACAAAAACCCAAAAGAATCCAAAACAAGGAAACAAATCCCGATTTACACTTCACACACACAGGCAGGCCAGCGAGGCCAGCCTCCCCCAGCAGAGTGTTGCTGCACTCCTCTAAGTCTCTTCAAACTGCGTGGAAGACACCGCTCAGAGGTTGATTAGCATTATTATTTTAAATTGTTTATTTCTTTTTAAAATGTGAGTTCCAATAAAATTTAAAAATTAGATTCCAACCTGTAGGTTAAAATGAATTAAAAAATACAAAATCATATACAGCGCTCTCTTCACAAGGGTGTTACAGGCCAGAACAGGTTTTTCTGTCATGTGATAGGAAGGGGGGGTGCACAGATGCTTCAAATGGTGAGGGGAACAGACCCCCATGCCTCTCCCAGCTGTGGTCCTGTTGAGTCAGGAGCTTTGGCCATGGAGTCACATCAGGGACTGGGGGCACAGGACCCCCCAGGCCTGAGGAGGCAGGCTGGGACTTGACTACAAGGTAGTTTCCCGCTGTTCTCATTCTTGGAGGGCTGGGCCTTGCTGCCACAGGGCACCTGTAGGCTATGGACGCAGCCACTGTCCATTCCCTGCTAGCTCGGTGGTAGAGTCCTGACCATGCGTGCCCAGTGCCAGCATGCAGGTAGGAAACACAGAGTGAGAGAGACCCGTGTCTGGCCTGGGCGAGGCTGGCCCTGGAATGTTGAAACTGGCTTGCCGGGGATTGGAGGGTCTGGACCCTGGCACCATGGGATGCCCCATTTCATAAAGTTTCCTAGGCAAGAGAGGTGAGAGCCAGTAAAGGACAAGCCGGGCAGCCAGCCTGGCATTCCTGGCCATGGCAGCCTTGGGCATGCCCTTAGTGGGCCTGGCTATGTTTCTGCCACCATCTTCCTGCCCCTATGCTGCTTCTGGAAGTGTGCAGGGTTGAACTGCCCAGGGCAGCTTGCTTCCAGCTGCCCACTCCCTGCCTCCCCATCTCCAGGCTCCCACGCCTGCCCTGCAGCTGTGCCTGGCAGTGGAGTAGAGGAGTTCAAGATGGCAAAGTGCACACAAACCGCCTGACCAGTCATGATGCTGTGATGAAGGCGATGGGACCCAGAGTGGGGACAGTGTGGGACAGGGGGAGGTGGCTTGTCTGCATGCGCCATAGCCAAGGAATTTGATGTGACAGGCAGGACTCTGGGCTTGACTGAGGCAGTGGCTCGCTGGGACCTTACATGAATCAAGATGGCAGGATGGGGTGTCAAGGGGCTTGTTCTCTGGCCCCAAGAGAATCATTTCTGATCTGTCCCAGGACCACCGGGACAATTGTTCTACACGTGGGGCGGCTGGGTTGGAGGAAACATGTGGACTCCTCGCTTGGCATTTCTCTAGGTCTGAGTCTTGCCCTCGGGACAGCCAGCCCTGGGACTATAGCCTGCCAAGGGCCAATTCATGGGGCACAGGTGGAGCATAGGGTGTGCGGGCATGGCAGGGGCATGGTTCTTTCTCTGTGCTGCCCCAGAGCTTACCTTCAGCCTGGGTGTTGAGACCCACTTTCTTTGAGATGGGGCCTTCACTGCCAACGCGTGGCTGGATGTGTTGTACCACTGGGTGCCTGGGAGGCAGATGCCTGTAAAATCCTGCTCCGTTGGCTGCTCTGCAGACAGGCAGCCCCTCCCACCTCCCACCTGCCACCCAGATGCCCAGCAAGTGACTGCAGAAAGAGCAGAGGATCTTGGGAGGTGAAATGTTGGGTCTTAGATTTATGATGAATTTAAGCTGTCCTAATCTTGGAAGCAAGGAGATTTTGGCAAACAGTATCGCAGTACTCTGTACCAAAAAGCTCTGGGGAGGAAGAACCACTGTCCCATCTCATGGGGAAGTATTTCAACAAGTATTTTAAAGAAAAACTGGCAAAAGATTTTGTGTCAGGCTTTTACTAGTTAGGGACAGTCCAGCTTCCAGTCATGAACTTGCTGGGCCCCGGCTGAGGAGGAGAGGGAGTTCTATGGCAAAGGCCCGGAAGGCTGACCCTGAATGCCAAGGTATGGCTGTGCCATGGGGGACAAATGGGCACAGTCCCTATTCTCTCCAGCCTGTCTATGAGGAGACCAGCTTTGGCCTACAGTAGCCATTCAGTCTTTGGATGCTACCCATTGTGCCTCCAGCCAGAGGCATGCAAACTTATAAGGAGCCAAACCTGGCCTACCTGGGCATGCCCTGCTCTGATCTCCTGGGCTCCTGGCACTCTAGCAAAAGCTGGGGTAGGGGCAGCTGCAGTTGGCTCCAGTGTTCAGAATCAACAGGAGAGCTGGCCTCAGGTTCTTCCAGACCATAGCCTCACTCACATCTTGGGGTGTTCAGCTGAGCTTGGGTTACATTTTGGGGTTAGGCCAGGGATGAGTACAGGCACCCTAGCAGGGAGCCTGGGCCAGGATGGAGGGCGAGCTTGCTATCTGGGGAGCCTAGTGGCCGGTGCTCATTAGCACGCAGCAGGAATCTTCTCCAGGTAACTCAGGGGGCAGGGCTCTGCCTGTTTTGAACTCTGAGTTTCACCAAAGTTAAAAGGTCATTTCCAGTTCTTTCCCCTCCTCTCTGGGGTTCTAGCCCAGCCCCTCGGGAGGCAGGTGGTAGGAAGCCTGCCACAACACCAGCATTCTCCTTGGGGGGCACTTTTTCTTCCTCTGATGGATGTAGGAGCTGTGATCCCGGCTCGCTAGCTGACTGTGAAGTGCTCTGAAATCTATGAAGACTGACAAACGCAAAGGTTTCCTATTATTTTGGCATTTAAAAAAAGGTATGACATAATCTAGGACAGCCTTCACCTTCCTTCAGAAAACCAAAGAGGGCAGGAGGAGGAATTTGTGAAACATGGGTTAACACTGGAGAACTGCCTGCGGTGTTTGCACAGACCCCGGCCACAGCACGGGCTTTCCACACTGGTCCTGATGCTGGTGCTTGGCCTTGCTGGGAACGGCCAGTGTCTTCCTCGCCCAAAGGTTTCCTCTGTCTTTCCACCTTCAGGAAGCAGTGGGGGGTAGGGTTGGGGTGTGTCCAAGTTTGCATGAATTTAAAATGAAGATAATTATTTAGAAGTTCCAAATGTCAGTGATCCCAGTGTGTACAGTAAAATGTTCTTGGTCCGTCTGGAGGGGCTGCAGGAGGGCGGCGCTGGGCAGCCTGAGGTCCCGGCAGAGGTGGGTGGGGCTCCTTAGTCCAGCTGTCCCTCCCCTCCCGGAGCACAGGGCTCCTCCCCTCCTGATGGCCTGCTCTTTTCCCTTCCTTCTGTCCTGAAAGCATGGCCGCTCCTTTGCAGTGAGCCCCTCTGCTCCTTTTCCTGGAGGTGAGGGTGGGGGGTCAGGCAGGTTCAGGACGAAGGTTCCAGATGTCTCCTCCAAATGCGCTCGCTTCACCTGCTGCTGCCATGTGTCCCATCTTCCGCCCCACCTGAGGTCCGCAGGAGGAAAAAGCCAGAGCCTATTCCTGAGCTCACCAGGTGGGGGCGCTGCTGACGTAAATTTTCACATAACCAAACCTGTCCAGCCCCAGGCAAACTTTTGTAGGCAACAGGCCACCAGGGAGAAAGGCTGCATTTAATGCTAACTTATCCAAGGTCCAGGGAAGTCCTTTCCTCTTCTCTGGGCCTGTTTCCTCATCTGTCAAATAGGGGAATGGATGAGATGATCACTAAGGTCCCTTCAGCTCCATGAGTCTATGAAATGTTTATTGCTATTGCTTTTCCTTCACTGCCCTGACGGTCAGAGCCACCCGCACGCAGCTGGAATGTGGTTCCTTCACTCTGGCCGTGAAGGGCATGAGCTGACCCGGAGCTTGGCCAGCTGGCCTGGCCCACAGACACACGGTGAGCCCTGGCCCCGGGGAGGGTGGTGGGAAAGGGAGAGCAGTGTCCAGGTCCCAACTCCATAATTCCCCAGAGTGAGCTCCGAGGCTGAGGTCCAGGTGACACAGGGCACCTGCCCTCCCTAGGCCTCAGAAAGCTGGGATCCCACCACGGAGCAGAAGCTCGGCGGGTCTGAGGTCAAAGTCACCTTGTGAGGAAGTGCCATGTCCGTTAACATCACTGTGCAAATCAGAAGGTGCCGGGCCACTCAATGTGGCAGGGACCTGCCAAACCAAAGCCCTCAGGCAGCACTCCTCTCCCCTTCTGCCCCCCCCCCCCCCCCCCACTGTGGCAAAGAAAAGACCAGGTGCTCAACCTGGGGTACTAAGCTGCTTCTAACTCCTGCCCAGTCGGGTGGTTGTGTTGCTAGTCTGTTGTGATGGTTCTCAGCTGATGTTCCATTTCCTGTGTGTCAGGATGCAGTGAGGTCCTGAACTAACTATACTTGGGGAAGAATAAGAGAGGGGCATTCCCCAGAGATGTGGCTGCTCTGAGCTCCAAGCTCCTGCCCTGGGCCAAGGGCCACATCGGCTGCTTTCTTCCTGCGGGAGCGGAGCCTCCAGCTGAAACCACCATAATAAACTCCACTCAGCTTGACACCAGCCTGGGACCCCCGGGGGCAGGACCCTCACGAGGAGGAGCAGGGAGGAAAGGGCTTGGTCAGGTAGGAGGTGAGGGGCTGGCAGGGCAGCAGCTACAAGTGGGAGGGTGGGGCAATGGCAAGAGATTAGAAAAAGCAGCTTTTACAAAAATCAAAAATAAAAACCAAAACCATTAAAGATGCATAAAGTGACCCTTGCACTTCCGTTGTCTCTTCTTGCGGGTGGAGGTGGTGCTGCTAGGGGACTGTTCCAGCACCGCTGTAAAACTTGAGTAGTTGCATACAAGGTGTGACTCCAGGCCTGTGGGGAAGGGAAGCCATCAGCACCAGGGCAGGCCCACGCCCCCCTCCCATGGCAGCTGCCTCCTTTCCCTCGGGCTCCAGTGCACGCACCCCAAAGGGGTGCCCAGCATAGGCCCAGGGTGCCCAGCATAGGCCTAGGGTCTCACTTCAGAGCAAATACCTGACTAGGCAAGAGCTCATTTGAAGGAAGGGGCTGAGGTTAAAAAATCTGAATCCCATATGAGGAGCCCACAATTCAGTCCAGGGACTGGAGCTCTGCAGGCATGACCTAGGGTCTTGCTGCCCAATGAGGCTGCCTGCTGCTCCTGCCTGGAAAGACTGAGAGGTCACACTCCAGTGCAAGGATGCATGGCACTCCGGACTTGAGCTGGGGCTTGGGGGCAGCCCTGGATGCAGCATCCTCCCCCTCCCACTCCCTCACCCCACTCACTTGGGTGGGCTTCAGGCTTTACCAGTGCGGGGGCACGTAGCTGTATGTAGGGGTCCCTTGGGCCCTGTACGTTGGCATGGAGACAGGGTGTGCCCCAATGGCGGTGTGCTGGGGTGTAGTCAGCAGGGTACCTGGAGTTAGGGAGAGGGGAGGAAGCTGACAAGGCTGTACCGGGGCAGGGAGCAGAGGCCTAAGTCTTGGCACAGCGGCTACCCTGGTCAGGCCCCACATGGCGGAATTCACCCTTCCAGACTCTCCAGGCCACCTTGCAGCCACAACTATTTTTCTTTCTGCAGACATGACTCAGAGAGGACTGTGTGCACTTCTGCTGCCTACACTAATTTGGGTGCTCTTTGGGGAGTGATGCAGTATCCACGGGGTCCAAGAGCCCCCACCCCTTAGGCTGAGGCTGGATCCAGTCCCTGCACACCTTGCTCTCAGCAGATGGCAACTCTGCAGAAGCGGTCTCAGCTCCTTGAAGAACTGGAACCCATCCTAAAGCTGCTTTCCCAACCCCATGTTCAGGCTCCTCTGAGGTAGGGCTCTGACAAAAGCCAGTGCCAAGAAGGAGCCCTAAGGTCCTGCTGGGCAGGTCTAAAGAACATGGCCGTGCTTTGCTGGTCCCTGCTCCCTTTGCATCCTAGACGCGGCAAAAACAGTCAGCTTGTGCTCTCCCCTGCTTAGCGCCTGCTGCCAGGTTACCACTTGCTCCCTCTGGCTGCCCTTCCATGTGACATCTCCCCCTCTGCAAGCAGATCTGTAGGGTGTGTTCTCCAGGTCGGTGAGTGCCCGCTGGCCTGAGTTCCTGGAGACGAGGGGTGGCGTGGAGGTGGGGGCTGCCCTCACCTGCAGACATCGCCATGGTGGTGCCCGCCACCATGCCCATGGCCACGCCATTGGTCCTGGGGGCAGCCACAGGTGCCGGGTAGATGGCGGAGGGGATGCTGTTGGGCTGGACAACGGTGGTGTGGTGGATGACGTGGGGCTGGGCGGCATACACCGGCTGCGTGTAGTAGGCTCCCTGTGGAGAGATGCTGAGGTCACGCAGGTGTTTAGGGTGCTGGGACTACGTGTGTGTGTGTGTGGAGGGACACAGGAAGGCCATGTGCATTCCTCCATCAGGCATGGGGCAGAAGAAGCATAGGCCAAAGGGCCCAAGGTCTGGGCTCCAGCTGGGGCTCAGCTGGTCTTAGCACACCATGGTGGTGAGGTCAGTGCTGGGCTATAGAAGGAGGCTTGTGCCTGTCTGGGGTGCTCCAGGCCTACCCTGATGGTCTAATGGCTAAAAGTGCCTCTTTAACCCCGACAAGGAATGTGGTATGCTATGCCCACACCCACTGAGGGTGACTGGCGAGTGTGATGGCTGGTACCAGTGCAGCCATTCTACACATCAGAAGCCAAGTTAGTGGCATTTCCTAAGTTGTCTCTGGCCAGCTCCCTACAGGCAGAACAATAAGAACGGAGACACAGGGTGAGGGGACTTCTTGCTACTGGGCCACCAGGGCTGCTATCTGGCACTCCAGGGGTCTGTGATTATGGCCAGAGCAGCCCACAGTGAGGAGAAAAAAAGGCATTTTTGTTGACCAGGCAGCTTTGTAAGCTGGAGACAGGCGCTTCCTATGGGTGGAACCAACGCGGCCCCCGGCACCAGCCCCATGGCTGAGGGGACCTGGGGGATGCCAAGGCTAGGGAAGAAGCCACTTTCTCCTGCCTGTGAGCTCACAGATGTCCTCAAGGGAGGGTGGGGTTACAGAAGGGAGCCCAGGACTTGGGGGTGACCCCTCTCCTGCCCTGTCAGGTGGCCTAGTCAACAAAGGAATGGAGCCAGATGGTGTACTGTACTCCAGCGCTCCTCATGGCCCAGGCTATGCCTCGCCCCCTCAGGGGCTTCAGGGGAGGACAGGAGTGAGAAAACTCCAGGGCTGTTGCTTCTCCAGCGACAGGGACAGCTGGCCAGGACCCTGGTCTCTCCTTCCCTCTCCTGCTCACCCCATCCTAGCCCGGCTGGAGGCTCCCCTCCCTGCAGAGGTGGGCCCAGGAATGTACCTACCTGGGCATACAGATTCTGCTGGGGGTAGGCACTTCTGATGGGATACATGGCCGTCTGGTAGGGGTTAGGGGATGGGGAGTAGGGGGGCGGAGCAGTGTTACTCTGGGTTGGTGGGACCTTGTACGGTGTTCCCGCAGTGTATCCTGTACCAAGGCAATGAGAGACTTCTGTTAGTGGTGGGCAAGCATGGCTGGAAGGCAGCAGGTCCCTGACATGGCTGTATCCAGGATGGAGACAAAGGTGAGGGCAGCCAGGGAGCCCTAGCCTGAGGCAGCTCCCTCCGTCCTGGCACACAGGGCTTCCTGTGGAACGCTGGGCTCCAGAAGAGAAGAGGCCAGAGCGCATGGTCTCTGACAGGACCCTGTGCTGTCTGCACAGGCAGGTGCACGCACAGGGAAGCCCTTCAGCACACTGGCTCTTTCCTGAGACTACTATCTGCTTACTTTCTGTTCCTCTCCTTAGCTCTCTCTCCCCATTGGCACTTCCCTCCTCCTTGTTACTCTTGCTTCCCCACCAAATTTGAAGCGGAAACTCAAAAAGAGCATCCAGAGGTGTCCCTCTTTGGGATGCTGGAGGTCCCTGCTCTACAGAGCTGGCCTGGCCTTTCCTCCAGCAACCTGGGAACTTCCGCCGGAAAGGCCTCAAGTCCGAGATCGCAGAGATTCCCCGGAGCTGGAGCCTGGATACACCTGTGCCTTGGCAGGATGGATACAAGCCAGGCCTAGGAGTCCAAGGGGCCACGTGTACAGCAGGACTGTGAGTCCCAAGGGAGATGTCATGGGTAGGAGTTGGTCCTCATGAGGAACCATGCTGTGGAACCCGGCTGGTCCTCTCACAGTGCACAAGGAGGCACACAAGGGCTTCCGGGGCTCGGAAAGGCGAGCCTGGGCATTCCTCCCAGATGCTGTCTCCCCTCAGAGCCTGATGAGAGGGGTCTGGGGCAGCTGTGTCCCTTGACTCTATCCTGAGTGGGTGTGGTCTGCGCTACCCACCTCCTCCCACCAGCTCTCACCCATATGACATGTGCCGGGGGCAAGACAGAGGGTGTACAACCGGGAGGGCAGGAATTTAGCCTTCATTCCTGGCTCGTTCTTTTCTCCATTGGCTCACTACCAAGTGTTGGAGTTTGATTTGTAACATATGGAAGCTAAGAATGAAGATTTTTCCCTAAAGACCCTGGGTCCCTGGCCCTAGGTAAAGGCCACTGTGCTGTTCCTAATGCCTCAGGCCACAGCACAGCCTGCCTTTCACCTGGCACCCCTGCTGATTCTGGAGAGTGTGAGAGTTGCCACAGAAGACGTCCTGGCACCCACAGCTCCATGGTGGGTTACACAAAACTTTGGCTTTGTACTCATTCTGCTTGAGAAATACCAAGCAGGGAGGACAGGTGGACAGGACATGTTTGAGAGACCGTGGTGCTGGGAGGAGGTAGAAACCATGCAGAAGGGTGAGTATGTGGGCTGAGGGGCCTCTGGGTCCGGGCTGCGGCACCACCACAGAGGGGCTGCTGTGGGAGGGCAGGGTCTGGGGCTGTAGACACCGGGGAGGAGCCGGCTGTCGGTCCTTCTCCATCCACACAGCAAAGGTGCTCCCATATTGGGTGCACACTCCCTAGGTACCAAGGGATCTGGCTGATGTGTGAGATAAGGGAACAGAAGATAAGCTGGAAGGTAAGCTTGCAACATAAAATAAATAGGTGTGGTTTTTCAAGAATTCCTGGGCTTGATATGTCTTTACGTGTCAAGGTGAATCTTGACTCTGAGCTAAGGCTGCTAAGAAACTGTGTTGCCCAAATTCCCATCTGGCCACAAGCTTCAGCCCCAGGTGCTGGCAGCTGCAGTTTGGACTTATGTCTGAACTGGAACCTGGCCTTGGCTGGCACTTGCCTGGGAACTCTGGCTCCTTGTTTCTTGCATCAGTGGCCACTCAGGAGACCACACGGCCCTAGCAGTGTGAGATACCTGCTGCCTGGCCCTTCCCAACACAGCCTGCCAGCCCTGATGAAAGGAACAGCCTGAGGGGTAGAGGGCCTCACTCTGCCATGCAGGATGGGACAGCCTACACTGCAGGCTGCATGTCTCTCAAACCTCTGTGGCCTGGCATGGCGTGGAGTGGCAGCTGGTGTGACACTGACACACTGTGCATGCCCCAGCTCGGTAGAAGATGTCTGCTGCCTCATCCGTACGGGCACAGGTGGGCACGCACCCCACAGGCTTCAGGGACGTGTGTTTCTCAGCAGGCACCACCCCCTGCCAGTGTAAGGCTAGTGACTGTGTCCCCTCTCCCTACAGAGTGGAGGGGTGAGCTCCCTGTTGTGTAGGCAGAGCCTGAAAGCCTCCAGGAGACAGGAAGTTAAACCCATGACTGCCATGGGCTGTTCCAAGAGGGACACAGACACCAGGAATCTAAGATGGCTTAAAATGCCACAGTTTTGTGATTTTTAGGAGTTAACAAAGTTGACAAGGCTGGCAACTCTCTATGCACCGGAGGGAAATGTTCTAGAGTTCTTAACCTTCCCTGGGGAAGCCATACCACCTCCCCCATCTCTGCCACAAGGAAAGGGCTGCAAGCAGCTGGGGCAGAGTTTGGCTCCCACGTCTGAGGATAACCTGGGCTGAGAGCATTGCCTTTGCTTCATGTTATAAATGAAACACACACGGGAAGAATCCAAATTATGGCCAGGACACCCAGGTTTGTCCAGAGCCAGGAGAGCTCTGTGATCAATACCAATGTGTCGCAGCTGAATTAACATGTGCCAACAGCTCACAGGGGACCCGGCTCTCCAAGCACAGTGGTTCCAGGAGGCGCAGCCTAGGCTGTGCCAGGGAGTCAGGCCCTAAAGGGACATCCCAGCCAGAAGGCCACCGGGGACCGAGCAGCTACGTCTCTGGGATAATACAGGCTTGCTTCTAGCCCCATTCCGTTTGGAAGGACGGACCTGGAGCCCAGGGAGGCAGCAGCTTCCTGGTACCACACAGGGGGAGAGGTGGGGTGGAGAGGGGCTACCTGAGTTCAAGGTCTCCACAGCCCAGTCTTTGGTGGGTCTTCACTTCACTGTAGGCATTATTAGGAGAGAGAAAAGGGAGTTCAAGCACCAAAAGTCCCAGCTCGGCCTCACAAAAGAGGCTCTGTTCATGCTGTGTCTTGGGCTCCCTCCAAAAGGGTAACAGAGAGAACCTTTCCAGCGCTTCAGTCCCTATGCTGTCACAGACCCTCCCTGGTGGTACAGTCCCCGCGGTCCTATCACCTTCACAGGCATGAGTCCTCGCATCACGGATGCCTTGGAGACGGACTGGCTTACTGAACAAAGCTCAATGTCTGACTCTTGCCTTGACCCCCGGGCCTCCTTGATGTAGACAAACAAGAGTATTGAACAAGTAAGAGGTGGACCCCTAATTATCAGTAGGCTCAGCAAGTGTCTGAGAAACTCAGTTCAATTTCAACCCAAGTGCCCTGGACATGCCAATGGGACTTTGGGGAGGTCTGGGCACAGTGAAAGGCAAGGCCTAACCACTGAAGACCTTCCGAGCACAGGAAGAGTCGTCCCTGGAATCTGTGTGTGCCCACTACCCCCACCTGTGAGAGCAGCTAGAGAGGAGGGCCCTGTTGGAGGGGGGTACTGAACACCCAGCACCAAGGTGAGGGCCTTGGCTGAGTCAGCTGACAGAAGCTTAACCTTTACCCTAGCCAGTCGCTGCATTCTACAGTCTGAAAAACCAAGGTCTGAACGAGGAACAGGAATTACTCAGAGTTACACAGTCAAGCCTAAATTCCAACCTTTGGGGTTCCTATTCTGGGCCTTTTCTGCTTTGCAACAGGTGTGTGCTGTGAGACCACACCCACCATCTCCATAGGTACTCTATGGATTCGATTTTACCTGAGCCACTGGAATACACTGCCCCCCTCCAGCCCCTTAAGAGTAAAAACAATTTTCCAAGAACTTGGTACTAGAAGCCCCTGCTGCAATATCTTATCCCGGGTGTGCTGCAGACTAGCAGGGCGGTTTCATGTATCTGATCTTCCTGAGCCTCAGAATGCATGCTGGAACGAACGCCTACCCTGACAACCTCAGAGTATAACGCAGATGGAATACAACCGTGGGAACAGATTCAGCAAAAGGTGAGCTAGGCCGACATAAGCCAGTGCTGACATCCTGGGAGAAAACGACGCTGAGTGTTTAAAAGGAGGAAGAAAAAACCCCATACATTCTGATCTCCTTAACCTGTGGTTCACTGAATCCACTATCAGATTTTGCTTGTAACATCCCTGAGGACGTGTCCAGCCCCCGCTGGCACACACCACAGTCACTCCTCTACGGAAAGTTCTGCCAGGGTACAAAGTTCTTCTCGATACTGAGTCAAAATGCCATGCTGGTTGGGGTGGGCAGCACTGTGGTGCAGCATGCTAAGCTACCTGCATCCCAGCTACCTCATGCTTTCAATCCAGAATTCCTGCTGAAGCAACTGGGAGACAGCAGATGATGGCCCACGTAACTTGGGTTTCTGTCACCTAACTGGCTTGGTCTGGTTCAGCCCTGGCTGTTGTGGGCATTTTGAAAGTGAACAAGTAAAAATTAAATTTCCCTATTTCTGCCTTTCAAATAACATATTTTTTTTTTTAAAAAAATGCCATTCAGTAATTTCCAAAATGCCATGCATTTATCCAGTAGAACCATTTAGTGTTAAAAGCCAGATACGGGGTCAGCATTATCACTCAGTAGCTTAAGCTGCCACTTCAAACACGACTAACCAATGTAGGTGCCAGTTCATGTTCTAATTGTTCCACTTCCAATCCAGCTCCCTGCTAATGTCCCTGGGAAAGCAGTGCAGCATGGCTCAAATGCTTGGGCCCCTGCACCCATGTGGGAGACCCAGAAAGGAAGGCATAGCCCTGGTCTTTGCATCTGTTTGGGGAGTGAACCAACAGGATGGAAGATCTGTCCCTCCTGCACCGCTCCGCAGACGTGTGACAGCCTGTCACTGTCTGGCCGGATGCCAATCTCCCGAGGCTCTCCCAATGCAGCCTCTGCAAGGGCAGGGTCTCAGGCAGGAGGCGATTCTGTGCCCCTTGGTAAGTACAGAATGGCACGTGTTTCGCGACTCTCATGGTGGGCTAAAGCTGCTGGTATCTAGTGAGCAGAGGCCAGGGATGCGGCCCCACAACAGGTGTCATTTGACCTAGATGTCAGCAGAACCAAGGCTGAGGGGCTCTGTGCTTGGGGAGGAGCTGAAGGCCCGCCAATCTCTGCTCTTTCCCTGGGACAGCTAAGAGCCCCTCCAGATCCCTGCCAGGTGGCTCTGCCGCTTCCTCAAAGCTGGGCATGTGAGCACAATGTCTGATCTCCCTCAAGATTAGCAGAACCACTGAAAACTGTTTAAATGCTAAATGTCTTTTTTATGAAGTTCCTTTTCATTTCTCCCTAAGAAACAAATTGGCGCTGAGCAAGGGGGACAGGAAGGAGCTGTATTTACTGAAAGCCGCAGAGGAGGCCTGGTAAGTTCGGTTCTCGGCGCCGGTGTCCACGGGGAGATGAAAGGTGCCTTCGGTGCCACAGGAAGACGAGTTCTGTGGCCAGGCCTGCTTCATCAGCAGCGTTGCTTAAGGGAAGACATGAGAATAGCATTAGGTAGAAGCAAGCAGTGGGCACCACCAACCACAGACACAAAGCGATGATCTTGTGCTGGACGGAAACACAGAACAACCCGAGGGGCCCAACCAGACGCACAGGGAGGCTCAGCCTCTGGGATGGAGAGGTGGGTTGGTAGGAGCGCTGCAGGGGGCTGCCACGTGAACTGACACCAGGGACACCTGAACTTGCACTGTGAGAATTAGGGTTTTCCAGCAACTACTAAAACCATGAAGCACCCTTGGTCATAGACTCTGGAATATTCCTCAGCCATTTTCTCATCAATGGGTATGCAACTTGGGGCACCTCTGATATCAGATGGGCACTCTATTTCCTCAGACATGGCCTCAGACATGGTCTCTCCACTGCGTAGAGAGACACCCACAAACAATAATATGTTCTGGGAATCTTGCCGACTGCTATCTTAAGCGGCTGAGTGGCGGCTGCAGCCATGTCACAGATGCAGTGTGTTGTTCCTACAGAGGCCGTGCCGCTTGCTCTTTTTGAAAACACGGCCAAGGCCAGACACTCCTTGGCATGGCCCTGACTGTATCTTACAGAAGTGTGATGGGGATACGCCTGGGGCAGCACCCCTAGGAATCAGAGATGGGGCAGGTGGGAGACGGGAAGCCCAGTGAGTGATCTGCAAACACTTTTCATGCTGACTCGGAGCTCAGATTGCAAAACTGAATGGGTTGGTCCTAATGAGGTTCCAGAAGTGGGACTGACTCCCAGTAACTTACCTTCATGACATGCTGAAGGGAAGGAGGAACTGGGGGCCCTGGGGTGGGAATGTCTGAACTTCTCAGACATTTCAAACCCTAAAGGTGAAATACTCTTGATCCAAAGTCAACATAAAAAGAAATGATGTTTCCAGTGTCCTTCCCGACTGAGATCTCGGGACACGGGCTGTCGCAGGCTGTCGCAGGGGCCGTCAGCAGCCCCGAAGCCCTCTGCGAAGGGGTTAAAGTATCTCGGGACACAGGCTGTCGCAGGGTGTCGCAGGGGCCGTCAGCAGCCCCGAAACCCTCTGCGAAGGGGTTAAAGTGAGGCAGCGTGAGCTGAGGCATGAGCGTGCCTACACTCTTACTACCGCCACCAGCACGAGGACGCCTGCCTCTGGAGAGCGCCACAGCCCCCGCCCCACCTGGGCACCAGGGCTGGCCTCCAGCTCCTTTAAGTACCGGGCTGAAGGGGGTATTGGACTCTGCTGGACCCAGGCTAGAAGTGTAGCTGTCGCAGGCAGATTCTAGGCTTGCATGAATGGATCTCAGTATATACAGTGGATGCTGAGAAATGAAGAAATCATGGGCAGGAAAGGCACACGGTGAGGAGCATTCTGGCTCAAGCAGTGACGCCTCAGTGGAATCCCCTCAGGGTTCCAGGCCCACCAGGCGGGGCACACACCACGGGAGAAGGCACCTCGGTCTGTTCCTGGTCTCCAGTGAGGCGGCAGGAGAGGAATAAAACTCTGAAGTGTCCAAAAAATGCTGTAATGCCCAAACTGAGGATGTGCCACTCTGTGGGCCCGTGGAACGGCTCCCAGAAGCACAGAGCTCTGCAGCTGAGGAGCCCTCCAGGGAGCAGGAGGCCGGCACTGGCTCGTGGGATTCAGAGGTTCCCTGTCTTCTGAGTTTTTGCCCCCAAGTGGCATACACTTTGCCATGACTGATAGTAACCTGAAGAGATGGGACAGTTACATAAGTAAGAATCTACCAAAAAGAGTGACTGAGGCTGCTACTGCACTCAGCACTGCGGGTAGGGGTGGGCCACGGGACAGGGACACACTGAGTCACAGTCACGGCGTACACAGTACTTATGGTCTAGCTGGGGATGCAACACAGCCACACGCCAACCAGGGAGTGAACAAGACAGCGCGACACACAGCGAGACGCGATCCGCAGGAACCAGGAAAGCAGCATATGTGGTTGTGCCTCGGCTAACATGCTTTCTGGTAGCACATTTTTTGTACTGCTTTGTGTATCTAAATGATTTCAATAAATATGAAAACTAGCTGTGAACTTGACCTCATTAATTATTGGTAGTAAGACTTTCTCAGTGGACAATTCTAAAAAGCAATCCATTCTGTGGGGACTCACCACTCAGAGCTAAGCTGTGGAATGCAGCCAATGTCAATGGAAGCTTCTAGAGGCAAGCTGACAAGCAAAGGCTGTGACAGGCATGCCCAGTCCTAGAAGTGCTTTTTGTAGTGACCTCATCACTAAGTAAACATGAAATCCCTACAGAAAACCTTGTCAGCTATACCCTCCATCTAGGGCGCCTAGTGTGCTCCACTCACTGTGTGTGTGAGTGAGATCCCTTGGTTGAGAGGGGCAGAGTGACGGGGCCATGGCCAAGTGCTGGATTGTTCACTCTCCCGGATACAGGGCTCTGCGCCTGCTGACATGTGAATAGTCTGTTAAGCACACTAACAAGGCTGAGAGGCAGCAAGGGACCATCATCCTGATCACAGACTGAGGCAAGAAAGCAGAGTGCCAGCCTGGGCTTGGCCTTGTGTGAGCTGTGGGACCCTGGGCAAGTCGCTCAACCTTTCCAAGCTTTCATTTTGTTGTTCTGAAAATGGCAATGACCACTGTGCCCTGAGGCTTTACAGAGCTGCAGTGGAAGTGGCGTGAGCCTGATGCTTCTACTTCTGGGACCTGGCTGCTCGTCTACCTGCCGCTGTGCATGGCTCCTGTTTAAAGCGTTCAGCTCTGGAGCAACTACCTCCTCACTGTGCGTTTACTATTAAACCTGCACCTTCCCACCTCCAACCTGTAGCCACAGTCACATATCAAAAATTGAACCCAACCACAACTCCTCCTTTCTCAACATTCACAGGCTTAAGTCAACTCCCTGTGCAACATTTAAGTCCCCCTGGTCTGGTCCTGAGGATCAGGACCTGGACTAGACATCCTGTTCCCTCTCTCCCCACAGCCATGCAGACAGGCCTGGGTGCTTCACAGTCCTATGTCTGCACCACGCTGCTTGCTAGCCCCTGAATGCCTTCCCAATTCTACCTGCTCACCGTTGATTAATCCATTAGGCAAGTGCTGAAGGCTCGCTTCTACTACAATGTCTTCTTCCTGTTCTTAAACCAGAGCCTCCTCCTGCACCCTCTATTTGAGGGTACTTCAAGAGGTTTATGGGAAAATGCAGTTAAGAGATGTTTACTTTTGGTGGAAAATAGTCTTAAAATTCACGCATAGCGTTTTTAAAATATGCATTTTCCATCAACCCACTGAATCCCTCTTGCCATGAGCCCAGTCCTGGTGGTTCCTGGATGCCTCTGCACTTGATGGCTTGTCTGTCTCCCCACTAAATGAGGACCCCTTCTTCCTGATCTCTGTACTGCCAAAGGGGCCTGCTTAGGACTTGGCACAAAGTGGCCTTCAAGTAAAGTGCTCCATCCATTTATATGCTGTCCCTGAAAGGGGTAGGGAGCACAGGAGCCTCCCTGACTTCTTATGGAGACTTCTGTCCAACTACATTTGCTCTTATGCAAACCTATACTGATACCTCATAAACGGTAAGAAAACCAGACCTGTGACCTGCAAACATGGAATAATTAGTCAAGCTCTTTGCATTTAAAGGGATCTCAGTGGTTACGTGGAACAAAACCTCTTTCCCATGGCCTACAGACATTAGCAAGTTGCCCAAGATCACATAGCCCACAACAGGGGCGAGGGGAAATTACACAGCCCATCTCCTAAAGATGAGCCACTCACAAACTCAACTTCCAGCATTCAAATAGTTCAAGGCTGAGAAAGTGCAGGAGCTTTACAAAAACATTGTTGTAAGCGGCACAGCCCAGGTGAGGAGGGGGGGAAAGTGGCAAGTCCTTCCCATGGTCCCTTCCTGTCTGCAACAAGGACCTAGTCAAGTTATACAGCTGGGACCCTCACAGGTGCCTAGAAGTTCCTGTGGTGCCTTGGGCGTGGAGTCCACACTGCCTGGAGAACCAGCTGTGGTCCTCTGCCCATCAGCATGGTGGGTCCCCCTGCCTCCTCTCACCACCCAGGAAAATGTCCAGAGCCCGAGATCTGGGCTGAGGGAATAGACTGTGGTCAGCAGGTCTGTAAACACGTCACACTGCCAATGGAGAAGGAAAATCTGATACTGGGTCAGAGTGGGTTTTGGGGTTCTAATAGACATAATCCAGGGACCTTTCCATAGAGGAGCCATTAAGAGACCCTGGAACTTAACTTTTTTTTTTTTCCCACTTGGCAGTCTGATTAGGGTGAGAGCTGTTAGTGCATGGCCCCTCATTGCCACCCTAGAGTGATGGTTCGTGTGTGTCTCCAACCCATGATTTGCACCATCAGACATGTTCCTGCATGCTTCAGGAACTGCTGCTGAGCCACCTGCGGGGAGCCCAAGCCCAGGGGACGGGGGTTGGGGAGGAAAGGGGAGGAGCTACCATTGTTACAAGAGAACACATTCATAGGCTGAAATACAGATGAGGAAAAATAGCTCTCATACCATAAGCTGAATGCAGGAACTGAAACTCTGTTGGATAAAAACGTTAGTTGAAATTACCACTATGAATTGGTGTCAAGTTGTATACACTGTAGTTACAAAAACAGACTTTGTTCTAAGATAGCAGTTTCCCCTGGGCTGCACAGGAAACTAAATGAAGAGGGTGCCAAATGCATCTACTCTGGAAAGGGTAGCCGACTTGCCATCCAGGGAAGTCCACTCATTGTGGAAGGAGGGCTCTGTGGATGCCTGACCCAGAAGCTGACTGCATGTGAACAGGCCCAACCTCTTGCTCGTTCAAGATTAGCATACTTTTTATTTCTCCCCAAAACAACAGCAGGAACCTCGCACACGACGGAGTCTTTACACATTAGAGGAAATGATGAAACAAGCAACTCTGGCCTCACAGAATCTGTCTGTAAACTCTGACAAGGTCTGGTGTGGTGGCAGCCAGCAATGCCAGACTGGTGATACTGGCATCTCAGCCAGCAATGCTGGTTTGAGTCCCAGCTACCTGCTTCCCATCCAGCTCCTTGCTAATGTGCCTACCAGAAGCAGCCAAAGATGATAAGGTACTTTGTTGCAGCCACTTTGGGAGTGAACCAGCAGATGGAAGATTTTTCTCAGTCACTCTGCCTTTCAAATACACAAACCACAGACCAAGTAGAAGGGCTGGATCCTCTACCGAGGACTGTGTGCTGCTGTGGGGGAGCCCAGGGGAGGGTCACACAAGCCCGGGCTGCAGCCCAGCTTCACTGTGGGTCAGCTATTGAGCTCTGGACAATGTAGCCTGGAGGTGAGGCGCTTGAGCTCACGGAACGAAGGTCAGAAGCAATGAATGTGCCATGGGTTATGCAGAGGCTAGGACGTAGCAGGTGTTGGAAAACACCTTTCTTTCCCTTACTGCTCATTAGGTCTGTCCTCAGCAAGATGGGGAGAAAGTGCTTTATAGGGCTGCTTATGGAATCAAGTGAGATGACTGAGAAAAATGCTGTGTCAACAGCCTCTACTCACCAGCTTCCTGGTTCTCCTTCCTCTTATTTGGAAGGCAGATCACCACAAACATGAAAACCAAGTCCGGTGTGGAGCCTGCCTCCTGCGGAGCCCTGTGGCTATTAATCAAGAGCCCTGCACCACGGAGAACTTGGGCAGTCTCCCAACAGCCACCTGGCTTTCAGAACCAAGGAAAGAATGAAACAACCCCCAGGTCCTAGACAGGTGACATCCCGGAGTACTTGGAGCTGCTAAAAATAGCACTCTTGGAAGCAACTCCTTGGTCTCCTTGGAGCAGCTGAAAGACACTTACACCTGTGAGCTGGCTCCTTGGCAGGCACCTCCTCCTGCCGTGCAAGCTGGAGCTGGCTGACACTGTCCTCTCTGACCTTGAGCCAGTCCCTGCAGCAGCAGGCTTTGCTGCAGTCGGGAGCCCTGGGGCTGCAGAGGCCGGCATCCCACCATGTGGACCAGACCCAGGTAGGTGCCTGTGTGTATGTGACTCAAGGACGAAAGGCATCTTCCCAAGGTCACATCAAACAGCAGCAGGTACTGCTGCAACCTGACCCGCCCACTCCTGCTCTGGGGCTTCCAGCACAAATGTAACACTACCCTTTCACAGCTTTTCTGGGTTTCTGAGGAAAAAAAAGCCTTTAGCTTAGAAATATATTGCATTTCTACAAACATAAACTTCAGGGCTGGCACAGCAATTTGGCAAATAAAACCTCCATCTGCAGTGCTGGCATCCCATATGGGCACTGGTTTGAATCTCAACTGCTTCCCTTCTGATCTAGCTCCCTGCTAATGGCCTGGGAAATCAGTAATGTACAGCTCAAATGCTTGGGCCCCTGCACTCATGTGGGAGACCTGGAAGAAGCTCCTGGTTTCTGACCCACTGGCCTAGCTCCAGCTACTGTGGCCATCTGGGGAGTTAACTAGCAGATGGAAGATCTCTGCTTCTGCTCCCTGTGGTTCTGCCTTTCAAACATCCCGCCCTCCCCGCCAAAAAAAAAAACTTGCAAAAACAGGGAAAAAAAAACCCCACAAACTTTAGAGAAATCAAGTTACATGAGGATTTTTCTATTGTTTTGAAAGTTAAACTTAGGATTCTACACCCACTAGGAGCTTCCAAAACTGTCTCCCTCTGACCAGTCTCGGCCCTGTTCTCTGCGGCCTTTCCCTCTCTAGTCAAATGCCTCAGTTTTCCTCGGGCCCACTGCCCTTTCCTCAACTATAAATTGTGGCTAAGAACACACTGGGCGTGGAGAAGGTGGAATCTGCATCTTTGAACTACTTACCTAACTTCTCATAGTTTTTTAATTTTTCCCACTAGGATAATGAGTATAACAGCAATACAGATCTCAGATGTTTGATATAAAACAAGTTAATATCCATAAGGGGCTTAAAAATAGCATCCATACAAAGGAACCATTCAATAAATAGTACCCATTGGTTCCCTGTCTTCCCACTTCTTGCCAAAATGCTCCTAACACAACCCCACAAGAGCACCAGGAAAGTGCTGAAAATTATGAGAAACTGACCCAGTGCCGAGGATTGGAGCCTCCCCATCAGCCAGCCTCCAGCGTTGCCTGGCTGTGATAGTTTTGCTAACATCTGCTCCCACTCCTTTCTGTGAGGTACCTACCCCTTAACCTCTGCCTTTAATAACCTTCCCTCTGCCGACTCATCTTGGTCTCAGCAAATCCAGGTCACTGGCAAGAACTCTACTCTGTATTGGCACTTTATGCTAAGCACATCCACCAGTGCCCTTGGTCTGACAGCAAGAGCTGCCCTCCTGAGTAAGACACACCATGCACACCTGCCACTCAACCTCCCAGTGACAGAGACTCGTAAGTTCTGGCTTTCACTGTGCTGCAATGGAGTGAAGGTGGGGGGAGCACTGGCCCGGTCTGACATCACTTTTGTGCCTGATGCATCATCTCCTCCTGCTCCAAGTACTTCATCTGTCACACTCAGATCCAGGGAAAGCCCTATTCCAGCCCACAGTCCCTTTCATTTCAAGCCCCCGGGCTTTTTTGGAGGTCAAGCTTCCTGCAGGAGCTGACCTGACCTGCAAGGTCTACCTCCTTCCATGCTCGTTGCCTCTGGCTCCCTCCCTCCCCCTCCGACCGCTGGGTTCTTACAGTAAGCACCTTGAATCTGCCTCACTCCAGAGCCCCTCTGAACTCCTATAACATCTTCCCTAGCCTAGTTTTAGAGCAGCAGACAGCTTTCACAGTCAGCTCTCACAGCACTTACATTTAAATGACTATGTACACAGGAACCCTGGTGCAGGGAGCAGGTATTTGGCACAGTGGGCGAATGCCACCTGGGTGCCTGATTCCAGCTTCCTGTCAGTGTGCACCCTGGCTGGCAGCAGGGGCTTGGGGCCCTCCTCCCGTGCGGCCAGCTCTGGCTATTGCAAGCCTCTGAGAAGTGAACCAATAGAGACTGATCGCTTCCCTCTCAAATTAAAAAACAAAGCAAAACAAAACTAATGGAAAATGTATTGAGAAAAAAAAATTAGGCATGAACTTCCAACTTTTTTGGTATTCAAACTAATCTTTTAATTCCATTTTTACGAACTTCTTAATGTATAATTATATTGTAACAAGCCACCATCACTTTTAAGATAAAATTTCTCAAACCTGATTAATATTTTATCAGAGAATTTTGGTGTCTCTTTAGTATTTTTACCTATTTTTAAAAGTATATAAATGCCTGTGGAATTCACATCTATGGCAGTGCTCTGGGGATTAAATTCATTTGTTTGTATAAGATAGTTTTTAGTTGCCAAAGGAAAAAAGGACTTCTCTGCTAATTTTATGGTATGTACATATAAGTGAGATTATCACATGGCTCCTGCTTTAGAGATGGGAACTGGAGTGTCAGAGGGATCAGGTGACTGTAAGGTGCTAACCCAGGAGTGACAGAGGCCAGGCTCAAGGCCAGGCTGTCTTCTTGCAACGCCCCCACGAAGGGACTGGGGGCACCATGGGCACTGGGTGGGCACTACGGAGCATGGACCTGCCAAGTGCTCAGACGGAGGCCACCTCACTCGCTACCTTGCTCCTCCCCTACCTTCCTTTCAAAGAAGCAGGTTATTTACAGAATCTGGGGGGTCTTTTCAAGCTTCCTAATTCTATGCTAAACAAGAAAATGGTATTCAAGGGACTGCGGTTGTGTAGTAAGTTAATCCTCTGCCTGTAAGTACTGGCATCCCATATCAGTGCCTGGTTCGTGTCCTGGCTGCCCCACTTCTGATCTAGCTCTCTGCTTACGGCCTAAGAAATCAGTGGAGAAGGGCCCAGATCCTTGGGACCCTGCATCCACATGGGAGACCTGGAAGAAGCTCCTGGCTCCTGGCTACATGGCTACACCTCAGCTCTGACCATTGTGGCCATTTGGGAAGTGCAATGGTAGATGGAAGACCTCTTTCTGTCTCTCCTTTCTCTGTGAAAATTTACCTTTCCAATAAAGATATAATAAATCTTAAAAAAAAAAAAGGTAAATGGAATTCAAGGCATTTTTAAATGTACCCTACGCCTGTAGTTCACACTCACCCTGCTGCTCCGAGGGCCAGCCTTCAAGCAGCCTCTATGTGTGAGGCCTCCACAACGCTCTTGTTCACCTCGCCTGTCTGCACTCTGCTGCAACACCCCTCAGCCTGTGTGTGCTTCTCCCTCTGCGCCCAGTGCTGGTCACCCAGTGAAGCGCCCCTCTCCCACCCCTGGGCAGCCTGCTTTTCCCTCCTCTTCCTAACTGGGTTGCCTGTACTCACTGCTCTATGCTGCATAAACCTCATTCCTATTCTGGGTTTCCAGACGGTCTGCAAGCTAGAGTAGGCAAAGATGGCATCTTTCAGCTCCCCTATGTTGGGGAGAGGGTATTCAACAAATAACTCCAACTGAGGAGACGAAGAGGACCTTATAGAACAGCATCTGTCTGCGTGACACAAGGTAGGCTCTCAGAGGTGAGTCACCTGTCCACGGCCTTCTAATTAGCGAGCCGGGTAATGAGCATTTGAGCCCAGAACATTAAGGCATGGGCTGAGCATGGGCAGCAGGATCCATGGTAGGGCCTCAGCCGTGCTCCCGGCCTGGGACACTGTCACCATCTTTCAAGCCACTTCCATCGCTCTATAAGGAATGCTGGGCCTTCCCTAGTTTAGCAAAGCAAGTGTCTCATCTGAGCTGGAGGACCAGCCCTCTCCCTGGTGGCAAGTCTCTCACTCTTTCCAACCCGTGGCCAGGAGTCAGCTGTGGATGCATGTGTGTGTGTGTGTGTTTCCCAATGGCAGCCGCAGGGGAAACTGAGCAAAGACTGGATTCAGACATTGCTGGGAGGGCAGAACAGGTTCTGTGAGGAGGAGGCAAGTCTCGGGCCACCCAGCACAGGGGTAAGGGGTAATCTTCAGTCCCTGGGGAATGGAGGGACTCCCTGTCCCACCCACCCGGAGGCTGTGCAGCCCCAGTCCCTGGAGGGGATGCTCAGGAGAATCAAGGCCGGACAGGCTGAGCTCAGAGCAGCAGAGGACAGGACGAGGCCAGCAGGGCAGTTCTTGACCCAATCAGAGCCCCATTTATCACTGCCACCCCACTTTCTCCTTACCTGGAGCGTAACTGGGGCTATTGGTGGGGTATAGGCTGGGATTGTAGGCAGGGGCTGCGGCGGGGTAGGCTGTGGGATAACCTGCAAGAACACAAGAAAAGCTTCATTCAGCTGGGCAAGAAGAATAGCAGGTTTCTCAGGAAACTGAACCCATGTCTTAGGCTTGGCCTTCCGGCGTTTAGGGGTCCTTGGGGACAATGTATGCGACCGGCTTTCAGTCGCTCATGGGGGCCTCACCAACATGAAGACCCAAGATACACTGACGCTTCATACTATTTTTAACCAGTGATAGAAGAACTAGGTCTGCATCTGCACTATTAGAAAATGGAGACAATATACAAGTGTGTATGATAAAATGTAAATTTATTCCACATTTCTGGCTGAACATACTGTCCTCCCATAGGGTAACACTGCTGCTGCAGTCTGGCATCTCTCCAGATTTTCTCTCTCTTCAATGCACTGCAGTAAACAATTCACACGTTTCACAACACAGATTTAGGAGCATAATGATACTACCCTCCCTCCTGACTGCATCCCCACCCATCCTCTTCCTTATTTCCTTCTTCCAGTTTTTACAATGGCATATTCTGAGTTCACTTCACAATCATAGACTTAATACTCCATGAGGCAGAGCCTGGCATGATGGTTCAGTGGTTAAATCCTCACCTCATAACCACCAAGATCCCATATGGGCATCAGTTCTAATCCCGGCAACCCTGCTTCCCATCCAGCTTTCTGCTTGTGGCCTGGGAAAGCAGTCAAGGATGACCCAAAGCCTTGGGACCCTGCAACCCATGTGGGAGACTCAGAAGCGAGTTCTTTAGCCATTAAGCTACTGCGCTGGGCCCTATAATAAATAAATCTTTAAAAAAAAAACCCCAAAAAACAAACAAACAAACAAAAAAAACAAACCCAGGCCCGGTGCAGTAGCCTAGCAACTAAAGTCCTCATCTTGTAAGTGCCAAGATCCCATATGGGTGCTGGTTCTAATTCCAGCAGCCCCACTTCCCATCCGGCTCCCTGCTTGTAGCCTGGGAAGGCAGTAGAGGACGGCCCAAAGCCCTGGGATCCTGCACCTGAATGGGAGACCCAAGAAAGGTTCTTGACTCCCGACTCCTGGCTTCGGACTGCCTCAGCCCTAGCCATTGTAGCCACGTAGGAAGTGAATCGGTGGACAGAAGATCTTCCTCTCTGTCTTTCCTCCTCTCTGTATATATCTGATTTTCTAATAAAAAATAAATAAATCTTTAAAATAAATAAAGCCCTACTATTCCTCAGGGTTATAGAGAAAGGCTGCGAACAATAATCACATCCCAGAATGTCAATCTTGTGTATGTGAATTACATTTTGGCACAGGGCACGGGTTACCACAGATCAGAGACCAGTTATCACACATATTTTTGCTTATTTGTCACTAATAAGTATAATGGCTTTCAACCGCATCCATTTAGTTGCAAAAGACAAGGTTTCATTTTTCATGGCTGAGTAGTATTCCAAAACAGGCTCTTCACCCACCCCCTTTAAGATTTTATTTCTTTGAAAGGCAGAGTATCAGAGAAGGAGAAACAAAGATCTTCCCTTCAACCGGTTCACTCCCCAGTGACCACAATGGCTGGAGATCTTCCAGGCAGAAGCCAGGAGCCAGACACCTCATCTGGGTCTGTCACATGGATGCAGAGGCCCAAGCATTTGAGCAATATTCTGCTGCCTTCCCAGGGGCATTAGCAGGGAGCTAGGTTGGAAGTAAAGCAGCCAGAACTCAACTATTACCAATATGGGATGTTAGTGTTGCAGGTAGCAGCTCATCCTGATATGCCACGACTCAAACCCACTATGTTACATATTCTTCAACACAATGAAACAGTGCCTGGCATGGTGGCCTAGCAGCTAAAGTCCTCGCCTTGAATGCGCTGAGATCCCATATGGGCACCGGTTCTAATCCCAGCAGCCCCCTTCCCTTCCTGCTTCCTGCTTGTGGCCTGGGAAAGCAGTCAAGGATGACGCAAAGCCTTGGGACTCTGCACCCACTTGGGAGACCTAGAGGAAGTTCCTGGCTCCTGGCTTTGGATCAGTGCAGCACCGGCCATTGTGCTCACTTGGGGAGTGAATCATTGGACAGAAGATCTTCTCTGTCTCTCCTCCTCTCTGTATATCTGATTTTACAATAAAAATCTATCTTAAAAACAAAACAAAACATGATTGAAAAACTAAGGTTAGGCAAGGCTGAAGCCAGGAGCCCAGATCTCCAACAAGGTCTCCCATGGTGGCTTATTGGGGATCTAAGTGCTCCAGCCATTATCTGCTGCCTCCCAGCATGGGCATTAATAGGAAACTGGATGGGAAACAGAGAAGCTGAAACTCAGCCAGGTGCTGTGAGGTGTTTCGTCCCCAGTGGCACTGTCACCACCATGCTGATGCCTGCCCCATGCTTAGCCTTTAAACCAGGCTATGCTTCACAACAGCTATATCCCATGAGTCCTAGCCAGCACTGTGCAGCTTCTTCAAGGTTGGTTATTTCCCCTTTTGAAAAAACTACAGACAGCAAAGCAGGTGTGAAATGATATAGCACTGTGGTTTTGATCTGTATTCCCCAACGACTGGTAAATGTTGAATATTTTTCATGTGTTTATTTGGCCCTAATTTGTCTTTCCTTGGAGAAATATGATTCAAATAATTTGCCTATCTTTAAATTCAGTTGTCTGTCTTTGTTGTTGCACTGTAGGAGTTATTTATAGCTTGGTACATCAAAAATCCATTAAAGGGCCTGGCACGATAGGGTAGTGGTTAAGGTCCTCGCCTTGCATGAGCCAGGATCCCATATTGGCGCTGGTTCTAATCCCGGCAACTCTACTTCCCATCCAGCTCCCTGCTTGTGGCCTGGGAAAGCAGCCAAGGACAGCTCAAAGCCTTGGGACTCTGCACCCATGTAGGAGACCTGGAAGAGCTCCTGGCTTCAGATCAGTGCAGCTCTGGCCATTGTGGCCACTTGGGAGTGAATCATCAGATGGAAGATCTTCCTCTCTGTATCTCCTCCTCTCTGTGTGCCCACCTTTCCAATAAAAAAAAAAAAACTTAAAAATGCATTGATTTAAAATTTAATTTTTTTAATAAAAATAAAATTTTATTTTCTGTGAACTTTTCTGAGGAACCCTCGCCTATTCTGAGTACTAACTTTTATCAGCTATGTGCTTTACAAGTATCTTCTCCTGTTGCATGGGCTGCTGCTTCACTGCTTGAGCCATCACTGCTGCCTCCCAGGGAGCGTTCCGGCAGCAAGTGGACACTGGAAAAGGGCCTTGAATGCAATTCCAGATGCTGAGATCTGGAATCCGGAAGTAAGTGCCATCCTCATTGCTGAGCCAAATGCCCACGCCTGAAATTCACTTCTGCAATAGCTAAAAATCGTTGAAACTATAAATATATAAATCTTTGGCTGCAACTCTGTTTTTTCAAGGATGAGTTCTAAAAATAAGATTTCTAGGTCAAAAGGTAAGGCTATTTTTGAAGTCTATCCATTAAACAAACAGTAGCTCTTCATGCCAGCGCTGAGACTCCCATCAGTGAGTAATAGCAGGATCCCTGCCCTCAGGTGGCTTCTGTTCTGGTTCACTGAAACAAACAAGGCCTTAAATGCTGAGGAAAGTCCTCAGAGTTTGCATGCTAAGCAGGAGAATCAGGAGTTGGTTGAAGGAAGTGCTTGGCAGACAAAGGAAACAGACCATGCCGAGGCCCTAGGCTGGAAGCGTGGGATGGGGACTCAGCAGAACAGCTAAGCAGCCAGGGTGGCAAGAGTGGGACAGGTGAGAGGATAGCAGTAGCAGTGGAGGGCAGGGAGATAAAGGGCTGTCCAGCTCTTGTAGGACTGCAGACTTTCATTCTGAATGAAATGTGAAAGCACCCCAGTGTCTTCAGCAGAATAATAATATGATGTGACTTGGGTTTGAAAAGTCACTTGGACTGCAGTGCTGAAACACTCCAGTAGGGGTGGGAGATACTTTTTTTTTTTTTCCTGCCATGGGCCACTTGGATATTTACAACATTATTTGTGGGTCAAACAAAATTATCAACTTAAATGATAACCTGTTATAGATGGACTAGATTTTAAGTTCCGCCTGCAATTGTTTGGCGGGGCCAGACCAAACTATTTCACAGTCCTTATACAGTCCATGGGCCAGACATTACCCATTTATGTGAGGGAACAAAGATTGAGACGCAAACAGAACAGGAGGGAGGCTACTGCAAGCCTCTGGCCACAGGGGCTGGGGCTCAAACCAGGACAACAGCAGTGGAGGCGATGAGCATGACAGGCTAAGAGTTTGCACTGCAAAGATCATCATCTCTGTGTGCCCAGCAGTCTGTGAGTACAGGTCTCACTGTTCTCCACAATTTTTAAATGCTCATTGGTATTCTGAACAACAATGGAAAGCTGGTTTTAAAAGCCAAAGATTAAATCCCTAAATCCTCTTTGGGATTTGTAAATATGAAAGCGTTAATAGTGTATATTTGTTAATATGCTATTCCCTAAAGCCTTTCCAACTCCAGAGAAAAGTCATCTTTCTTTACCCCTCAATCGTGTTTAGATTTCAGAAGAGAGGCGGCGGACTGTTGTCTCTTAATTAGCAGTCTGGAGGGGTGTCGCGACTTGAGAAGGCAGGGGCCTAATCTGGAAAGCCAAGTGACTAAGCAGCATGACCGAACTACAGATTTAGCATCTGGGGAGAGATGACCTTTTACTTTTGCAGCAATTACAGGATCTTCCTTCAATGCTTCTAAGCAGAATTATTTTTAACTCACTTGAATTGGTAGATACAGGGTATCTCAAAGTTCTTGGGGGAAAAAAAAAGGAATCATAAGACATAAGTTAGTTTGTTTTTAAAGGAAGAGTGACAAAGGGAGAGGGGAGAGACAGAAAGGTCTGTCTTCTTTTCCCTAGGTCGCTGGTTCCAGGAGTCTGGAACTCCATCTGGGTCCCCCATCTGTGTGACAGACAAGAACATTCTCTCCCCTACTCCCCCGGCCCTGTCTTTTACACAATTTACTTACTTAAAATGCAGAGTGACAGAGAGATCTTTCATCCTTGG